TAAGCATTATTGTACTAGTCTAGTAGTGTCTACGTTTACAACACGTATTAACAGCTGAATCATTTTGCCATTCTAAAAATAACCATTACGATGCGTTGCATTGTTTAAAAAAACCTCTACGGGTAGTACCACTTGGCAAGAGGGGTGTTAAGTTTAAGGCAACTGTATAATGTTTTTGCGTACGAATAATTGAATTAGAAAATGTTATATATAAAACTGCACACATAATTACTTTATATATACAGTTTGAATCGTGTGATTAATTTAAAAAAAAATACAATACAGAAACAAATACAACTGATGTGGCACCTCTATTTAAATTTACTTATGAGCAAACTGCGTAGTGGTGGGGAAATTTTGACAAGGTCAACAACGTCATCACGATGAAGTAGTAATATTCTTACAGTTTGGGCGATAGTGATTACGATTACAAATTATATGAAACAGTTACAACCCCCTCCCCCATGGACCCCTCTGTAAAAAAATATTGTCATAATACCACTGCTACTTATTTAAATCTATTTCTGTAATATATATCTGTGTAATATATATTTGTGTAATATATATGTATGTTTAGAACAGTCATCTAAAAACTGAAGCTATGTTTACTCTGAGTTGGTTATCTCCCCCCCCCCCTACACACACAAACACCACCACAATTGTGTAGAGCGATATTAATGTCACACCTAGGTATACACTGGGTTGGATAATTGACCTAAAGTGACCGGACTGTGGTGAATGAAGTTGAACCGACCCCCCCCCCCCCAACCCACCCCGAACTGATCTGTTAAGTACATGTAGAAAAACGCGTAATGATGTACCAAAGTACCATGCCGCCAGAAAATTAGCTTTTTAAACGTAAAACTATGTGAATATTGTTTTTGCAATTACCAGTAAAAAGGTGTGTGATCAATACAGTGATCTAACCCATACCTATCACTATGTTAAAAAATAAACCGGGAGTGATCTCCCCTAAACTTTCTCGAATATTCTTATATAAAATAACAGGGGATGGGAACTCGGGCTATAGACATGATTTTTAATCCATTTTAAATACTTAAAGTTTTAAAAATAGAATAAAATCTCGTAGACAAATTAATTGCACACCAAGTGAACGCCAAATAAAAAAGCGCATAATACTGCGCAATATTATTAGTACTTCTAAAATTTACATTAGTTTTTTGAGAAATCGAAAGTAGCGTAAATTACTACTTCCAGTCAACGGAAATTACTCAAAATTTAACAGAAGGTAGAGAATTAGATCTTTTACTTACAGGTGAAATTTCATGTATCTATCTGAAATAGTACTCAAGTTATAGGCTTTTGAAAAATTCATAGTAGAAAAAGTACCACTTCCGGTTATCGAAAATCGCTCAAAAGTTGATACGGATCTACGATTTTGATAAAATACTTATATATGAAATTTCATCAACCTAGCTGTAACGGTACTCAAGTAATCGTGTTTACACACGGACACACAGACATACACACACACACACAGACATACGGACAAGATTGCAAAATTATGTTTTTCCGTATCAGTGAGGTGTAAAACGTCGAGATTTGTAAAAATCTCGATTTTTTTTTGCTAGATTACAATACTTTCTCTATACTCCGTATATACGAGAAAGTAAAAATTACCTTTAAAGAACTCAAAGAAGCAGTAGTTAATTAAAAATATTTGATCTGTACAAAAAACACCGATATTTAGTTAAATGTAGGCTGTTATTCCGAATGTTTTTCTATTTTATCGAAACGCGTGGTTTTATACCAACTCTGATTTTAAAAACTTTTATTATGCTGTAATGCTTTAGCATTTATAATGACGATATATTAAATTCTGATTATAGACAAAAACATTTTGTAAACACGAATAGTGTTAAAGAATTTCATTATATTCTAAAGTAATTATTTATTTGTTTTGACGTTTATAATTAAACTAGGCATGCTGCCCAGCTTCGCTTAGCCTTTCAAAAACATTGAGAATTTGAATGCTTAATTAATTCGCCCGAGGGTCGGTCTACGACCTCAGGAGTTATGAAGAGGTTCCTACGTGGACAAATTTGTTTCGATTTATAGCTCATATAAGGCGCCGGTCAGTCGAGGTCTGTTTTGACCCCCTCATCGTAGACCTTTAGGCCAACCGGCACAGGCCCCCGTGTTCTGTCGCCCCAAGGCAAAATCCTGCCAAATTTGAAGCGCCTGCGGCGCCGGGAAGTGCCCGATGTCGGGCACCCAACAACTTTGCTTCATATATTATAGAGATTAGCAAATTGCATAAACAAAGATTTCCAAAGTAGTTCCTTTCTTTATAGTCTAAAATAGGAAGATTCACATATTAAAAAAAAAAATTAGGTTTGACTTGGTGTGTCTCGATCCAGCCAGAGTTTCTTCCAGGCATCTCTTCGGGGGGGCGAAGCCCCCCCGAAAAATTTTTACCGCCCCCCCGAACGAAATGAAATTTATATAATTTATATAGAAAATATATACTTTTAACAGTGTCCGCCCCCCCGAAGAAAGTCTACCGCCCCCCCGAAAATTTCAAGTGCCCCCCCGGAGAAAAAAGTCTGGAAGAAACACTGGATCCAGCACCACCTGTCTGGTATCAAGGACACTATCATCTCAGCTAATTAAGTACCTTGCAAAATATGGAGAATAAAAGAAGTGTTTAAAAAAATAACTAACACGAATATGCCTATTTTTTCAAATTATTTTTTTTACCCAAAATTAGCCAGTTTCATTGCTAAACAAACACAGATTTCTATAAAATATTTAGATCTAAGTCCTGAAATAGTTTATTATAGAAATTTATTTTTGGAATAGATTCTACAGTAGATAGAGTCTAAAGTCTAAATCTAGATCTAGAATAGATCTTAGCCTTAGCGACGTAGCGTCTAAGTGTAGTTTTTGCGTAGATTTAGATTTAGATCTAGTCTAGATCTAGAATCTCTAGATCTAGAATCCAAATAGATAAAATATTTTTTTTAAGTTTAGGCCGAGAATATCGTATTGTGTAGTCTACATTTCATAGCGTACATAGCTCTAAATCATATTTGAATGAAATAGTTCATTTTTTAAAATTCTAAACTCGGAAGATTACGTCATCAGTTCCGTGCTCTTGTTTTAGTGTTTTAGTGTAAAGCGACGTCATTGTTAAATGCGTTTTTGTCCCAAGTTTATACACTTTTCCGGTTGCATAAATAATACTGTTTCTCTACATTCGAATACGCCTTTATTTTTTATTTTTCTTCTTTAAATAAAATTGTGGTTATACATTTAAAACATCTAACATATTATTTTCAACAAAAGTCCGTATAAAGGTATCCATATATCGCTGCCGATTCTGACGTGATGTCCGGCGAAAATATTTTGCGGACAGAGAGAGAGAAGAGCGCACATGGCCTTTTATATATTAGGATGTGTAGATATATACATATTTATAGTAAGAGAGTGATTACTTCCCCTATTTCACTTGTCTTAAATAATTTCCCAGGAATTATTATGTAAGAATTTTTTTTTACAAGAATTACAAAACAGATTGTGTTACGTTCATTGTTTTTGGTTGTTGTGTGTGTATTTTTTTTTTGTTTAGATTGATACAATTTTTGTTTTGTCGGCCTACATTGTATGTTTTTCTTATTTCTTCAGAGTGCTACTTTCAATTTATTTTACATCATAGCGAAGTAATGACATAAAGCTAGTAATTATATATATATATATATATATATATATATATATATATATATATATATATATATATATATATAATACACGTATATAGAACGTGTTCAAAATTCGGCGCCTTTTTTTGCTCTTTTCGCTCCCCCTACAACGAAAACCTGGATACGCCTCTGCTCAGGTCATAATTGTTATAGCTGGGTTCTATTCTATATGTCCCGCAGCTATGCAGTGAGAGGGTAGAACTACTTGATCCAATATTATATTCAGATACCTCTACCATTTTATTATATCTTGCCATTAAGTAGTTCATCTTGAAACACAACGACATTAACGTATATAAATGATTCGACAAGACGACCTTGTTTACTGTTTCTATTTATTGCACTATAATATATACACTATAATATATACATCGGACGACTTGAATAAACGATACTAGACTGGACCACATTACAACACCCCATAGCACAACAAGAACAAGACAACTTCTTCCCCAGCAACAACGAACTCACACTAAAACGTCACTTTCTTGCGTACCGCGAGTCGTAATGACGGGGGCCATTATGTTGAGAAACTAAATCACGGGAGCCTATATGTCGTGAGCCTAAATGACGGGAGCCTATTTGTTGGGAGACTATATGGGTCCATATGTCGCTGGCCCTTTTGACAGGGTCAATTTGACGGGCTCATATGTCGGGGCCGATTTGTCGGGGTCATTTTGACGGGGACGTTTTGACGCCATATATATATATATATATATATATATATATATATATATATATATATATATATATATATATATATATATATATATATATATATATATATATATACCTATATATGCCTATATATATATATATATATATATATATATATATATATATATATATATATATATATATATATATATATATATATATATATATATATATATATATATGGGGGGGGGGGGGCGCCAAACTGAAAGTTCGCCCGGGCGCCGGGAGGGGTCGCTATGCCTCTGCGCAGATCTAAATGAGATCTTCCAAGCTCGGTTGAACCTACCACAAGGAACTGGAGACTTTCTTTGAATACTTTGTTGTTTTTCCACTCCTATGATTGTAGGCTAGTAGATCTAGTAGCCTATCATTAACTTACGTTACTTTGCATTTGTGACGATAACTGAAAATAATTTTACGAAACAGGTTTTGGAATTATTAGAATTATCGTCATCGTGATTACTTCTAGTTCTAGATCTAGATCTAGATTCTAGATCTAAAATTAAAATCTAGGATCTAAGATCCTAACAGTATAAAATCGGTAACTTCAAAATTATGTCCCTCAAACCGGAAAACTACACCCATCGTTAAAAAACAAAAATGGCCAAAACCGTTTGACGTTTGTTTGTGCATTGCTATTCATAGATCGTTCTAGATCTAGAGTCTAGATCCAAATCCAGTAATAAGGTGAATACCAAGTTTTTAGTGCTATATTTCATTATCCATAGGCCTAGATCTAGTCTTGGTGTAGACTGTGTAGGTGGGATGATACGTAGTACGTAGATCTAAGAATAATCTAAGATCTATCTAGTTCTAGATCTAGTTGTATTCTAGTAGATCTAGATCTAGTAAGTATTAGTAAGTAAGTAGTAGATCTAGTACTACTAACTAGATCTAATCTAGTAACTAGATCTATCACTAGATCTAGAATTCACTAGTTCTAGATCTAGGATTCTAATCTATCGTTTTAGGTGCGTAAAAATCGGCCGAGGCTAGTAATGTGCGAAAAAGTTGCCTCATTAAGTTTAATACTAATAATTAATAATAGTAATAGAAGTAGGCCCTATGGCGGTAAAACCTTAGTTTAGTTTAGCGTTGTGAATTCAAACGTAGCTAGATCTACTAGACTCTAGTAGTAATGTGGGATGGAGGTAACTAATGAATATTTCTTTCATTTGGCCATATTTATGACATATTTTACATAATATAACAGATAATTGAATAACAAATCACAATCCATGACCAAAATATCCTGGAATAAACTTTAAACTACCCCGTTCGAGACGACAATGAGTAAATATAAGCAGCGGCCATGTTTCAAAAGCAATAATAGAGTAGTTTCCCTTGAAAATTGTCTATTTGCATGTCTGTTGTGTTGATTTTGTGGTTTAATATGGTTGTTTTGTATTGTTTTAATATATGCCTGTATAGTAGGCTAATTTTTCTTTTTTTTCAATATAGTTGACATGAATGACTTATAGACCTTTTCAGACTTAATAGTGTGCATCCAAGACCAAAACAATTGTTCGGAGGTCAAACTTTTGAACCCCTTTTTTTTCAGTAATCAAATCAATATTAGATCACTCATAAATGACGTTGCTCTTCTGATAGTAATGACAGCGTGCATTATTACAGAACAAGAAGCATATGAGCATATTGTTTCAGATAAAAATTGTGATTTGTGGTGGGGAGAGGTTGATTAGAACTCAGCTATGTGATTTTGAGACAGGTCAGGTTTTTTTTCCTGAAAACGGGATGGTTGTGGGAGAAAGTATGACTGTAGAAGTATGACGCGTCATTCATTGACGATCCATTATTTCAGTGGGGACGATAGAACTATTTAAAAGGGTCAAGAAATGTAAAAAGCATGCTGAGTCGCATTTCTTGAACCCCACCTTTTCATTCTCCCACTTAGCACATCATCACAGCGTTAACGCTCGCGCGTGACGTCATGTACTGGTACTGCCGACCGTTAGGCTAATTTTATAAAAATAAAAAAAAACAGGCACTGCCATTTTGACACTTATGGGGCGTTTAATCTATCCCTTGTCCATTTAAACATACGTGGTTATTTATGCAAGCTTGCTGTCTTGAGACTTTCGTCCCTTTAAAAATGTATTAAGCTCCCACCGTATAGAACTAGACTACTCATATTAAGCTCCAAAAGAAGCTTGGTGAAAACGGGATGGCTGTCCGATTTTGAAGCTGCTCTGCGCTTTACAAAAAGCACAATGAACGATAAGATGATACTTATATTTTGCGAAATTGAATTAAAGTATTTACGTCATCTTACAAAGCGTGATAGCCTACTGGTGCTCTAACGCGGCCCCATGCTAATGGCCATCAGACATGCCTACCGTCCCGCCAAAATCAAAACCGTCCCGCTTTTTCACTTAAAAAAGTAATTTGTTCCGTCATACTGATTTTGACTCAGTTTGTTCCGATTTTTTTGAAAAAAAAAATTAATACAGAAAGGCAATAAAGTGAATTGAAAAAAGTCAGGGAAAAGCGATTATCTCCCTTTAGAATACATTTCTGTTTCCTAGTTTACTTAAAATATTTACAAGTATCATCTAATACTAGATCTAGCTAGTAGTATATCAACCACTACTATATCTAGAATTGTAAGTAGATCTACTAGTAGATACTGAAATAGTGAATACTAATCTATCTTGTAAGTTGTAACTTAACTAGTAACTATTATGATTAACTAGGACTTTTACTAGGTAGATCAAGGGTCTTTGCTCTTAACTTATATATTACATATGATAAAGCCTTCAGCATTTGTTATTCATATAGCCTAGAACATAGCAAGGCATAAATAATCAAATCAATAATGTTATGGGGGGGTGTTACTGGGTTAACTTTTGTTTTTAAATGTAAGCTGACATTAAGCAGTATTTGAATGTAGCCTAGAGACTAGTTATATACGACTTGAAGCCTACTAATGTCATTAGAGTAATTTTTAATTAATCATTTCTGTTTTTGACTGAGTAAAGTAGCGTCTGTGCGTTTGTTCCTCTTTTTGGCTACAAATTCCTCTTTTTAGGCATGACTGTTCCTACTTTTGGCTGACAGGGTAGGCATGTGTGGGCCATATTCCTAAAGCCCCGCATTAGTCACGGTTTATTCGTCGGCCGGCATTTGGTGGCAAGCCTTTTTGACGGGGATGTGTTGAGGCCGTTTTGCCAAACGTCTCAAACTAGCAGGCTTGCCACATTTATGATGATTCGTTTTGAGCAAGTTACATGTATAAAATATGCCTACTAATGCTTTTTTATTGTTATTTTGATTGAACAAAGCATTATAATTATAATGGACGCCAGCGAGAAAAGTCTCAAAGGTATTTGAGAGGTCCATAAATTAATTTTAAAATCTTGCACGGCGTAGTTACAATTGATATGGTTATAAAATCCTGTCTGTCTGGTTTTTTTTCGGACTTTACTAAAGATTGGATGTTTTGGATGTTTTTAATCTTTTCGGTAGCTAAATAAAAAAAAACAAAAAAAAAAACAAAAACAATTTGGTTTTCACGTGTAATGGCGACATAAACAATGGCATCCTGCTATTCGATTGGGCCGCCATAAATTTTATTGTTCACATTGTAAGCTAAAAATAGAAAAACTAGGTCATGGTGTTTAAATTTGCATTGTTATTTAAAAACTTGATCTGCAAAGTTTTGTAAAAAATAACTATAAAGTGGGGCTGTCGGAAATCGATCACGGAGTTCCTTTACAGCCAATCAATGTTTGTCTTACGAAAGTGAAACATCGGGTTATAACTTAGGCTTGATGAACATAAATAGAAATGTAGCCTTAAACTCACAAATTATTTTCAAGTTCTCTGGATCTGCAACTTGTATAGCATTGATTCTAAAAATATTAAATTTCTGAATTAATTTTAGGTTTAAGTTTTTAATAACATTTTATCTTTTATTATTTTTATGGTCCTAAATCTAAAAAAGCACATTTGTATTCCAAGTCAACAACATTACGGAAGGATTTCATCAACTCACTGGTGTCCATTATAGAGGTTCTCCATCAATCACCTGGGTATTTTTTCCCCGTTCACCTCCTTTCATGAGACCGACACATCCTAAATTGCAGAGCCGCCTGAGTTGACATCACAAATCTTCACTCACTCCCGTAGCAAATGTGACATCATTTATGGACAACCCCATATCACTAATTTGGGCATTTGGTATTGACATTTTGACAACAAAGGATAACCAAAAAGTGTCTGACAGGTGGAGACTTGCAATCGACCATAATGACAACATGCACTTAAGGGGTAGAGTGGCTGATTGTTTTAGATGATGTTTTACGAGGGAAGCTGGTGGATAATATATTTTGTCTCTCTGTATATATAAATGATGACAAACATTTATTGTTGTCAAACTTATGTCTAGAGATCTTAGATAAGGCAGAGCGAAACGTATTTTTTTACATTATGACTTGTTGTGACATTGACAAAGAAATATGATGGAGGTTGGGGTTTAATTAAGGTAAAGGGAAGTAAAAAAAATGTCATAAGTTACAATAGAATCACTAATTGATGAAAAGAAAAATCTAAATTGAAAATAGTGAACATTCAAACAATAAGAAAAAACTCAAACTATATAGAGGTCATCCATAAATGACGTCACCTTTTTTTTTTTGACGATTTTTACCTCCCCCCTCCTCTCCATCACACATCGGCACAAAAAGCCAGAACCCCCTCCACCCCCCAAAATGATGTCACACCTCAACCTACAACCCCCCTCAAAATGGCAGTTGAATTTTTCTTAAAACATGACGTTTTTTCCCAAATCTTGTCTGAATTCTGTCAAAATAGAGTTTTTTAATCAATTCCTATTGCAATTTATTAAAACAGCTTTCTAAAACGCGAAATAACATCTACAATTCGTTTTCTAACATTGCTTTTTTATATTGTGAAAGTATGACGTCGCACCGTCTGAACCCCCTCCCCCTCATCACACACCGTCACAAAATTACGGACCCCCCTACGAGTGTGACGTCATTTATGGACGACCCCATAGTAATAGTAATGATCAAATAAACATTAGTACAAAAAAACCTGTGATTTTGTACATTGATACAAGTTGCATCTCACAATACTTCTTGAATTAATAAAGTTGTTTGTTAGGAAATTCAGTTTTTAAAGGGCAGAATTTTAAAAAATAATGCTTTGTAGTTGTAGGACGGACTATACAACAAGACAATCATATTTAAATACATTTTCATATGAATAGAAATGAAAGGGAAGGTACTCTAAATAACATTTTCTTAAGATGGCTGCTGTTTTTGATAGCAAATTTACTATCTCAAACAGGGTTGATAAAAATTAATTTCAGGATATTTAAATTGATTTAACCATAAATGGTGATCTATTATTCAATTATCTATAATATTTTATCAAAATATAAGAAAATATACTCATATTTAATGACATATTCATTAATTCACTCTCTCCTACATTACTAGTTTTGGCCGAATTTACGACGCTAAACTAAGGTTTTACCGGCCCTATATACCCAGATTGCGTTATATAATTGGGTAATCTATCGTTTTAGGTACGTAAAATCGCCCGCGGCTAGTAATGTACGAAACACCTCATTGTCAAGGCTTTAATAGAAGTATATTGTGATATATTTGTGTCAAATATTATAGATAAATGAATAATTAACCTAAATCAACAGCTAAATATAACAATATAGGCAAGAAATTAACTTTAAACAGCAGTGTTTGCAAGCAGGATTTGCTATATAAAAAGCGGCCGTCTGTAAGTTAGAGTGGCTTCCCCTGAAGTTTACAATAAAAAACTAATAAACAAGATGGCTGCTATAGTAAATGAGCATGGTTGCATCTGTTGGAAACATCGCTAGTCTTCATTTAGGCCTATTACTGAAAAGTTTTAATTCAGTTGTTTAAAAACAGGTAGATCTACATAAATGAAACAAGGAAACATTTTTGTATTTTTCAAAACATAAATCCTCCTCAAAATGTGAAATAATTATTAAAATTTAAGGAGTCACCTGTTTTTCACATTACTAGTCGCGGGCGATTTTACGTACCTAAAACGATAGATTACCTTTATTTGTGTCAAATATTAAAGCGATTGTAGGAAAAAAAAACACAGGAAAAAAAACACAGAAAAAAGTCACAGGAAACAAAGTCACAGGAAACAAAGTCACAGGAAAAAAAGTCACAGGAAAAAATGTCACAAATATATATTTGTATGGAATTTGTTAATACTTTTATGTATTAAATATTCAGAGAGTGCAAATTAACTTAGGATTAACTAAATGTTATGTAATTTGTCTTGGTTGTATGCGCATGGTAATTTTTATAATTCATCTAAAAATATTTAGTATGAAGTCCCGTAAGTAGATTGTAATTATGTTAAACATAATATTAATAGCATTTAATAGAATGTTCCAGCGTCCTCGGTTTTCATCGTGTTTTCTAAAATACCAACATTAAATTACAGTGAAATGGTAAGTTCATCTGACTTGCTGCCCTCAACTCATCGCAACAATAGTTATGCTTAGTGCTGTTTTTTTGTTGTTACATTTTTATAAAAAAGTTATTACGGTTAAAGTTCCATTTCAGACATATCTGCTACAGGCTACGTAGGTCATTGATGATCAATTATTCACTTTAAATCTATACTGGACTTACTGATCTAGTAATTTTTAGATCAATAATACTAATAATAAGCATCAGTTTAGTTGATTGTTCACATTGCTATTCTCCTATCATGTAGGATAAATATCAGGTGAAATAGTATGTCCTTTTTCATCAGATTAAGTGGCATACATTCAGAGTCATACCAATGAGGCATCTGATGGATTTGAACCCACACCTTCTAGCACAACAGCCTCTCCCCATGTCCACTCAACCACACATCTTCATACCAAGAGGGTATTTTTAACATTAAATCTAGCAAAAACGGTCACGACTGTGAATAGCCACTTCAAAAGTATTTTCTAATCTTGAAAGTAATACAAAATTAATCTAACACATCTTACACAATATAAAAATAATAATAAAGGCTATTAAATTTACTTTAAATTGGTTTAATTTAGCATTTATAGCCATACACCCAAAATCAGCGTTTGGGGCAAATGTAGCCGGGCCATGTGGCATTAAGTATTATTTTCTAGTTTAGACTAACTACACAATAAAAATCATTAATTTCTAACCCCAAAATAGTTAGGGCCTAATGTTGTGTACACACACATTAAATGATACCAGCTATCAGTATCACTAGGCCCCATTGGTCCACAATTGATACAATTGCAGGCCTACAGTCTAGTAGTTTACAGGTGGCACATTAGTATACCTAGTGTGTAGCTGTCCAGAGTTAAGATTCTTGGATGTAAAAAGGGGAGGTACTAGCTAATCTGCCTTGATGTTTTCTCCTGATAAGCCATATGTGCTATACATTATATAACTTGACATGGCGCTGAGAAATATAGAGGGGAGAGCTTTGGTACTGTTTCCCCTTTGTTCTCCTTGCTAGACTCTGAGGGCCATAAATTACAAAAGAGATGCTAACCATGGTTGGCTGAGATCTAAAGACTAAGTCCATGTTACCTACAAAGAGACGGAGTTTTATGGTAGGTTAGATACAGGCACTGGTGTAGCCGGGGGGGGGGGGGGGGGGGGGGGGGGGATGGTTATAACCCCTCCCATGGACTCACATAGACCAGAACACACACACAGTCCACACGCACCACAAAAATCATTTTTTTTCTTCTGACATTTTGACAATAAACAATATTTAAAATGTGAATGAAAGATTAAGACTTGGTGATATAAACCATAAATAAATGACATTGCACACTTAAATGGTGGAGAAACTGGTTTTTGAGACTGTGTTTTACATGGGAAGCGGGTGGGTAAGAATCATCAATACGAAAATGCAGAAAAGCATTAATTTTCGTTAGACTTCTTTAAAAGCCTGACAAAACAGGTACATTATGAATATTTTGTGACCGCGAAAGTATGATGGGAGTTGCAGAGGGGTGGTTTAAGGTAAAGAGTGGTCAAAAATATCATTTACCATTGATTCACTTAGTAGGGAAAAACCCCAGTGGAGTAATTAGGCTAATTGTTTTATTTCAACATAAAAAAACATTCTGCAAATTAGCAAGAATAATTAGCATTGAAAATGATTAGCACCAGAGATAAGCAGCTTACTGATACTGAATTCGCATTTTTGGCATATCATGTGCCCAACAGAAAATTGATTTAGTTGGTACCAATTCAGAGCTTACTACTGCAAAACTATTTTAAATGTTTGCAATTTGTGGTCTGTTGGATTTTATTTAATTTTATAACTTTAAAATTATCTTACCTTTATAATAAAAATAAACATTGCCAGTTGTGACCTACTTAGGTCTAGTAATGTTTTATTTTTAGTTGGACATTTGTTATAATACCATATATGGTCTGTGGTGCAACAACCGTTTTTTTTTCCGCTGTCTTACTAAGAGAGTCTTAGACTCAGAAATTTTCCATCGAGAGATGATTGATTGTTTCAGACCAGATGACCACCCCAACCAATGGTCTTATGATTTGAAGGTGACCTTCCATGTTACCTAAGTCTATAAATAGATCGCCCACAGGTGTCTCGAGGCAGTTACTTGACTACACGTCGTCGAGAGTTGATAAGCCCTGTGTGTTGCCGTTTAGTACTACTACTAAGTTGTTAAAGAGCATATTCCATATATTTCTTGTGGTTAAGAAATTCTTTATGCTTATAGCAGTGTTATGTATACAGTGGTGATTTTTCTGAAGTGTTTAAAGCTGTGATAGTGTATCATACTATTTATTTCCCACGAATTGTAAGTTGGGTTTTGATCATTTTGTATATCCATTTTATTCTTGTATAAATCTAGTGTTCTGCCACGACTTTTTACACCCATTACAAGTTATATACAGATTAAAGGTTTTGTTGGCATCATTAGTTTCTCTAGTGTTTCCCCTAGACATCAATTACGAGTCCTAGCGAGTTAGTGTGTCAATTTTCTTTTATTTAGGCTTATCGCCATCTGTGTGTAATCAGTTAACGAATCCGGGAGCGTTCGCCATCTATCTGGCTGATAGATTGGTGTCCGTTACACAGTCTACTAGAGAAATAACTTACATATTGTTTTTTTTTAAATGGCGACATAGTTTAAAGCACTTTTTATTAAAACCCAAACTATGCCAAATAATCAGTGGCTTATAGTCTTCTACACCATTGCAGAATAATTACATTATCTGGGTTCTACCTTAAGTAAATAAATAATGAATAATGACATTCTTGTCTGAATTTCGTAAGGATAATTCAATCTAACTCTGATAGTCAGTTACTTTAGGTAGATTTTTGTAAATTTGTTTAAAGCTAGCTATGTGCTGAAGAAGTAACTATAACTAGTATAACTGGGTCTAAGAAATAAAAATTAATATGAGTGTATTAGATCTTCTAACCTATTTGATTGCAAAGTATATATATATATATATATATATATAATAAGTAGGCTATATATTAGATAAATAAGATAATAAAACTTAACACCCATACTTATAATAAGACTAAAAATATTTGCTTTAAACACTATCAGTAGCTCACGTTAGGCCCTGTGAAAGTAGCCGTCCATGATCACTGTTTACTGACAACAGCAAGCTGATCAAGCGAAGGATAGTTCTTAATCTTGTTACCTACCCTTAGTTTCAAATAGTTTTAGTTTAAAGATTTTTGTTATCTGCCACTAATAGCCTTCACTAGATCAACCGGCTCTACGATTGTAAACAATCTTGTGAACCACAGCTCACCATACTATAGTATATATATAGTAATCTATCGAGTGATTTAAATCTGTTATCCCCCCCCCCCCCTCGATTTGGAAACCGTTTAATTAATTTTTAATGATTAATAAATTTAAAAATAGGTAGACTTGTATTGTCATCAAAGTGAAACGTATCTGGAAAGTTTGAACAGAATTGCTGCATCAGAATTCGGTCAAAATTGAGTTACAAGATTTGCCACAAACCCACAAAAAACAGACGTTGTGAAGTAAATAAAACTTGTAAAACAAAGGTATGTCTGTGTCTTTCTGTTTGTCTTTCATACAATTGCCATGAAGACGGAGGGAATTTGGGGAGATTCCTGCAATGCATTTTTCCATGAGGGGCGGTTATATTAGCACATGGGATCCATGATCAGTAACTAGCCTACGTCATTTGTGGATGGGTAATAGTACGTCTACAATGTGTAATTTTACTATGGCGTTGTGAATGTGATTCAAGTATATTTAAATATATATATATATATATATATATATATATATATATGGTGCCCTGTCAAATCGACCCCCGCCAAAACGACCCAGTCAAAATAGCCCCGTCAAAAGAGCCCTGACTTATTGGCTCCCGTCAAATGGACTCCCGTCATATTGACTTGCGACATATAGGCTACCGACAAATGGGCTCCCGATATTTAGGCTCTCGACAAATGGACTCCCGACATATTAACCCCTGACAAATAGGCTCAGTACATATTGGCTCCCGACAAGGCGGCTCCCGACATATTGGCTCCCGACATAAGGGCTCAAGACAAATGGGCTCCCGACAAATGGGCTCACAACATATTGGCTTTTGACAAAATGACTCTCGGCATATTGGCTTCAGACCGATGAATGACCACTATTGGCATAAAAGTAACCATTTTGTCCTACCTCCAATACCACTATAAATTCTTTTAAATGCCAGAATGAAATTGTTTTTCATGAACCAACATAAATTCACAAATAAATCGAGCCCTTAACAGCTAAATACCACCTATTCTAAAGTTTTGATAATGTTTAATTTACAACAGAAAAGATCTGTTGCTTAAAAGTGAGCACAGAAGTGTAAATGTATGATTTACATGATGTGTTTACATGATAACAGCATCTTGTTTTGATAACCTACAAGCATACTGCAGGTAGGAAGGTATAGCATGGACCCTTCTCCCCACACACTGAGTTGGAACAGCCTATAACCGACTCATTTATGGATGTCAGAGATAGATGACCCTTAAATTAAAACATACTATATTCTATAATAGATAAACTAATATAAAAATAAGGCCTGCCGAAAAAGAGATGCATACGTTGTATGCAGTGGTGGAACTAGAAAAAATGGGCCACCCCGCAAAAATACTTTTAGCCCCCCCCCCCATATCTATCTATCTATCTATCTATATATATATATATATATATATATATATATATATATATATATATATATATATATATATATATATATATATACAAACACACAATAAGAACATAGGATTCTCATTGCTGGCCTGTTCGGGTTTTGAAAAATATAATTTTTTTTTTCAATTTAAGCAAATTACAACATGTCATGTGTGTAAGTGCAATAGTCTGTTTTAAATATCTAGTTTATTTTATCTCTGCTATCAGATCTCTTAATCACTAGTCGGTCAAAAGTATATAAAACATGAAAGCTTTGTATAAGGGGTCATCCATAAATGACGTCACGCTTTTTTGATGATTTTTACCTCCCCCCTCCCCTCCGTCACACGTCGTCACAAAAAGCCAGACCCCCCCCCTCTAAAATCACGTCACACCTCAACCTACAAACCCCCCCCCCCCCCCCCCCCCCCCCCCCCCCCTCTCAAAATTACAGTTGAATTTTTTTAAAACATCGATATTTTTCTAAAATCTTGTTTAAATTATTACAATTTATTAAAACAGTTATCTAAAACGCGAAATGTCTAAAATTCATTTTCTAACATTGCTTTTTTATAATGCAAAAGTGTGACGTCGCAACATCTGAACCCCCCTCCCCCTCATCACACATTGTCACAAAATTACGGACCCCCCCCCCCCCCTCCCTATGAGTGTGACATCATTTATGGATGACCCCCAAGTTAAGGTGCCTCATTTTATGTTTATTTTTATGTTTTTTTGTATTTATATTATTAATTTTAAATACATTTCCTTTTTGTACAATGTCATTCTTTTGTAAGTACTAAAAAATAATTATTAAGAGAAGAAATTACTTTTTAATTTGTTTAGCGCAAATCTATTTAAAGGAGCTTATGAGCACCCCTATTTGACTATTTAAAAAAGGGAAATAAGTCATGGAAGTGGTTTCAACGTTTACTTATCTTTGATAAGTTTGATTGTAGGAGAAAGAGGACGCGGCTTTCACAGTGGTTTAAAAACAAAGGGAAAAAGAATACAAGAGCGTGGGGTGGTGTCTATAGAATAAAGATAATCGAATCGCAGCTATAGTAATCTTTTTACATAACAACCGTCAAGTTACTAAACCTGGATCGTTCTCCCCTAAACTTTCTCTTGAATATTCTTATATAACTTGGAATATAGACATGATTTTTAATTACTTAAACTTTTAAAAATAGAATAGAATCTCATAGAAAAAAGAATTGCGCACCAAGCGAACGCCAAAACAAAATGTGCATAATAGTGCGCAATATTATTAGTACTTCATAAATTTACATGCCTTTTTTAAGAAATCGGAAATAGCGTAAAATAGTACTTCCGGTCAACAGATATTAATCAAAATTTGACAGAAGGTAGAGAATTAGATCTTTTACTTTCATGTGAAATTTCATTTATCTATCTGAAATAGTACTCAAATTATAGGCTTTTGAAAAATTCAAAGTAGAAAAAGTACCACTTCCGGTTATCGGAAATCGCTCAAAAGTTGATACGGATCTACGATTTTGATAAAATACTTATATATGAAATTTCATCAACTAGCTGTTACGGTACTCAAGTTATCGTGTTTACACACAGATAGACAGACACACAGACATATGGACAAGATTGCAAAATTATGTTTTTCCGTATCAGTGAGGTGTAAAACGTCGAGATTTGTAAAAATCTCGATTTTTTTTTTGCACGATTACAATACTTTCTCTATACTACGTATATACGAGAAAGTAAATTGATGTAAAACGTTAAGATTTTTAAAAATCTTCTATTTTGAATTTTTGCAGTTACACTTCCTCTGTACTTAGTTTATAAAAACTTTTACAGGCAAACAGAATGATGTCACATGAAACTAAGAAGAAATAATAGTATCAAATGAGAAGAAACGAAACTAGTGAAGTTGAAACTGACAAAATGTACACAAAAAAGCATGGCATGATTAGTTGTAGATGAAAATAGAATTAATAGTCTAAAGTAAAAGGAAACACGATGATGTCATTGATAATGTATAATAAGGACACAAACATTACTGTTGGATTTATTTGTCTAATATTAAAATTGTGTGTACAAGAACCAAACAGCACTTATTCTACTTTCAGTTCTTCAAAGCCTATAACTTGGTTACTTTTTGTAATAGATAGATGAAATTTATCATATAATTAAAAGATCCAATTCCCCGTTTTCTTTCAAATTTTGAGTAATTTCCGATGACAGGAAAAAAGTACTTTACTGAACTTTACTCTATTTCTGATTTCTTAAAAACTATTTGCATATGAATTATAAAGTATTTAAAAATTGATAAAAAATCATGTCTATATCCCGAGTTGAGATCCTCCATAGTGTTATAAAAGAATATTCGGGAAAGTTTAGGGGAGATCACTTCTGCTTTATTTGCTATTTGCAAGTCTTCCACAAACATACTTTTTACATACATACAGAGGTATAGAGTCCATTATATATATATGTGTGTATATTATAATAAATATATATGTAGAGAGAGAGAGAGGGATTACATACGATTAGATACATAGATTCACAAAGACAGAGTTGTTTTTTTATACTTAAAGATTCCTTATTTTCTTCCCTAACAAAAGAAATGGCTTTCAAAAGTGAATTTTATGGTGGTTCAACACTACTCACCCCTTTGGCAACTGCTACGGGATTACCAATTGACCAGGTAAAATTATATTCTTTCAGTGTTTTTTAGAAAATAAATTAATTTATATGACTATAAAACTTCTGTTTTGGCTGAGTTTAAAAGACAAGCTTATTTCTCTGATTCCCTCAAACACTATGTTTTATGAAAGCATCCAATTACACTGTCATTGTTAAAGTAAAAGTTAGTGAGTGTTATAGAGTAGGCCTACTACTTGCTTATGATGTCCCTGGTCATTCAGTATGTAAACATCCACCATTGTGGTGTACAAAATGGCGACTTCTGCTGTGAAAGGTTGTGATACTTGAAGTGGCAAACCTAAAGGAATTCCTTTATTTTGACTGCCAAGGGTTAGGGTTATATTAAACCAAGGTGATAGAGATTGGCAGTCAACAGAACGTAGACGCTATCAATATTTAGTCAATATTTATCAAAGTGGTTTAAGTGAAACAATAGCTAATAAATGCAAATATATTCTTGACACTTTATTTTTGGTAGGGACAGTAAACAATAAACTTCATTTTAATTAACAAAAGACAACTGTAAATTAAAAAAATATGCTCAGCCTTCACAAGTACTAATAGCAACAGACCAAAGTCAAAAGTAATAGTACAATTTAATTGGAATGTTTATTTAATATTTAGAGCTAGAATCTAGCTCTAAATCTAATCATGTAAACTAAACTAAATTAGATCTAGATTTAGAGTGACTGGCTCCGCTAGGTAGACATAAAATCAAAAATCTACTTATTTAATTAAATTTAATAACAAAATTTAGATCTATATTTGATTCAAAATACACCAATAATAAATTTAAAAAATAGGCCTAATAATGAAAAAAATGTAATTGTCTCTAAGTAGTCTAAGATCTAAAATCTAGCTCTAGATTCTAATCATTTTATTTAGCAAATGAAATTATCTGAAATTGAAATAGACTGTATGGCCAGACTTATTTAATTTTAAAAGTTTATACTAGCAAGTAGTAGATATGTTTTTTTTTTGTAGAAGGCTTTAATAAATAACTAAGGCCTACCTATGTGTCTAATTACAGTAATAAAATAATATGTATCTGATACTGGACTGAGTTTAATTAAATTTAGAACTAGATCAGTGGTACTGTTACTGAATTCCCCTTTGTTCTCCCTGCTAGGCCCTTAGGGTAATAAATTATAAAAGAGATCCTATCTCTGGTTGGCTGAGATCTAATAGCAGCAATCCATGTAATGTAACCTACAAAGAGATGAAGTTTTATGATGGGTTAGTAAGGAATGGGAGCTGGGTATCAAGTATCATGGAGGCAAGAACTTTTGAGGGGAGAGCAGTGGTACTGATTCCTCTTTGGTCTCCACCCTGCTGGGCCATGATGGTCATAAATTACATATTACAAAACTTACAATCTCTGCTGGGCTGAGATCTAAGAACAGTAATCCATGTTACCAATAAAGAGATGAAGTTTTAAGGTAGGCTAGAAAAAGGTGGGCGGGCAGGGTATCATGTAGGTAAGAAATTTTGAGGTTGGAAGCATCTGTATGTGTCTGATCACTTCCCTGCTGGACCATGAGGATCATAAATTACATAACATGCTACCCAGATTGTCTGAGATATAAGAACAGCAGTGGTTGTTACCTCAAAAGTAGATAAGCAGTTTTATTGGGTTTTTTTTTGTAGGGGTTAAGTGGTCTCACAGTTATTACTGTCGTGTAGATCCACTAGATTTATTGCAACTTAATCTTGTACTTTACTAGAGAATCTAGAATCTATACTAACTAAATTTAAATAAATAATCTATAGTATATATTGCTGCATTTTATGTCAACATGAATATAAGGATCTTCAATTCCTAAAAGTTATTTAAGTATTGTACCTGCTCTGTGGGTGCGAGGCTCTTAACATATAATGAATCACATTTTGAGATGTCTAGTGCTGTGCAACAGCTGATTGTTTATTGGCAGTGTTCACCACCATTGTGGTGTTGCATGTATCACGTGATTTAGGTCACATGTTTGCAAGGGGTCTATTGGGAGAAAATCAGGTAAAAAAAAAACAAGAGCAAGAGTTAACACCCAATGGACGCGAGCGAGAAGGTATTCGAGAGGCCCATTAATTATTTTAAAAATCATGCACGGCGTAGTTACAATTGATATGGTTATAAAATCCTGTCTGTCTTGTTTTTTTTCAGACTTTACTAAAGATTGGATGGGTTTGATGTTTTTAATATTTTTGGTAACTAAATAAAAAAAAAATAAAAAAGCAAAACAATTTGGGTTACACGTGTAATGGTGACATAAACAATGGTATCCTGATATTCTATAGGCTGCCATAAATTTTATTGTAAGCGAAAAAAAAAGGAAAACGGTCATGGGGTTTAAATTTGAATTGTTATTTAAAAACTTAATCTGCAAAGTTTTAAAAACAAATAGTTATTGATCTCGGAGTTCCCGTACAGCCAATCAATATTTGTCTTACGAAAGTGAAACATCCGGTTATAACTTAGGCTTGATGAAAATAAATAGAAATGTAGCTTTAAACTAAAAAAAATTATTTTCAAGTTCTCTGGATTTGCAACTTTTATAGCATTGATTCTAAAGATATAAAATTTCTGAATTAATTTTAGGCTTAAGTTTATTATTTTTTATGTTTTTTACGGTCGCTTTTTTTTACTAAATCTAAAAAAACATGTTTTTATTCCATGTCAACAACATAATGGAAGGATTCTCGTCAACTCGCTCGCGTCCATTTAAAGATATTATGTGTATATACATTTACAGAATAGTAAATGGACAATAATGTGTCTAGACCAGGGGTCGGCAACCTGCGGCCCGCGAGCAGTATCATTTTTTATGTCAAGATGCTCCATGCACACATATAATAATTATTTTATTTTATTTTTAAAACTCATAAAAATATTTTTCTGCAACACTTGATAATGAACGATATAATAATAAACAAAAAACACTCGCTATTCTATTCGAATTTTTAGTTACTCCCTATTTTAATGTACTTCCTATATAATTATCCATCCCGAATTGAAACATTCAACTTCATGGTAGATATCAGAAAGAAATGAAAGAAGCTAAATGTAAAACTGCAAGGAAAGAAAAAATCAGCCTATGCATTGCTTGAAGAAGTGGATTATTTGGAATTAAAAAACCCTACTTTTTTTTATGAAGACACAGAGAGCAGAAAATTATTTTAATTTAAAAAAGTCTGAAAAAAAAAGATAGTGATGAAACCAATGCAAATATTAACATGAATTTCTTCAGTATTACAATAAACAAAATGAATCACTGAGAGATTTGAGCTATTCAAAACAAATGAAAGTACTTTCACGTTGATAGTGGATCCTCTCAACACAAAAACAAATGAGATTAACTTTGAGCTATTTGGGATTGATACTAGTTTGCTTCAAATGCTATTGCTGGATTTGAAAATAAAACATTTGTGGAGTGGTAAATTCACAGATCTCAAGAGCAAATTATGAGATGTGGAGGTCCAGTAAAACATGCATGTTTCGCTACAAAACTGGACAGCTCTAAAAGAAATGCCGCGAGTTGGAGCACTATTATAGTATTCCAGGATGCTACAGTTAGGTGAAAAAGTTGTCATTTGGAGTGCTGACGATCTTCGTTCAACATATTTGTGCGAGCGTTCACTTGCATGAATATAATAAAAAGCAAAGAAGCCAACTAACAAATAAAAATCTAGAGGCGTGCTTAAAACTGAAAACAAGTTATGAACAGGTTTTAACAAACTTTCAAAAGGCATGCAAAGTCAAACTATTATAAATATTATTCAATAATTATAGTTAATTTGATAACTGATTTTATCATTCTTGCAGAGCTAGCTAAAATATTTTTGTGTATGTTTTTATATGAATACATATTATTACATATTGAAAACTATTTATTTTAAATTATATATATATATAATGTTAATTAAATATCATAATATTGAAATATAAATGATAATGGCTCTTTAAAAACTGGACAATTTTGTAAATTGTAACTTTTGGCTCTTCCGTCTCAAAAGGTTGCTGACCCCAGGTCTAGACCATATAATTCAACAATAATTTATAAGAGTATTTAAGTAGAACAGTGTGTGCAAGTAATAATAAGTAAAATAATATAATTCAACACCAACAAAATGCACTAAAATAGAAGCAAGAAGATCATTTTAACTTATCAATTAACCAATGTCATAACCAAAAGGAAAACTATGTCTTCATAACTTAGTATTGGGAGGCCAGCCAAGCATAATGTAAAGAAAAGTGCAAGAGGTGACAAGAAACTCTCATTTCCTAAAATAGCAAAAGCTCAAGCTGAGAAAACAAAGCTACTAAAAAGGGGTTATTTCTCAATGCAAGCTTCTTACAAGAATTATTCCTAAGAGGCCTTGAGCATAATTATTGATGGTTTTTTATAGTTTAGACATTTGGAAATTGATGAACCTTTATGTTCAGCTCTAACTGCCAGATTATACACAACAGCAGGTTAACCAGTCCTTTTATAGAGAAAACTAGAGTGTGGCAAGGCTGTATGCTTTCCCCAGTGATTATTTTCATAGCCATCAATTGAATCATAAATAGGAAAACCTCAGGCCAAAAATCTGAAATCAATTTTTTTTACCAAGGAGCTTGAAGACGATTTAGCAAATGACATTAGCCTCCTCTCACATGGACAGCTGCACGCCCAGTTGAGTTTAAACTAAGCAAATGTTTTGAAGAAGCATTAAAGACAGGTTAAAAGATAACCGGATGGAAGGAAAAAAAAGATGATGAAGAGTTAACAACAATTAGGAGCTCCCACTTAAGATAGAAGAAATGACTATTTTGGAAGTGTGTTGCTTCACATATCTAGGAAGTGTAGTAAGGTTGGTTTTTACAGATGAGGACATCAAAAGCAGCATCAGAACAATCTGGATGTAAAGAGTACTTTCCAATATATTACTATTAAACAACAGTTTGAAATCTGTTCTCTTCTATGATTCAGAGACTACAGTAAACAAATTTAAAACAACAATCTTCATGCTTTTCTAAATGGATACCAACAAGGTATATGAAACGTCAAGTAGCCTAAGAATTGTGTCCACACCAACCTTTGGGACAAAAAACAGGGCAAATCACTATTGGGAAAAAAAAACAAAGTGTAAATGTGGATGGATTGGACACACCTTGTGCAACCAAAAACATCATCAGAATGGGATTTAAATTTGGAAAATTCCAAAAAAAAGAGTAAAGTGGGTAGGCCAGAACAAACTTTAATAAGATAAGTTGTAAGCGAAGTAAAAACAGTTAGAATGTAATAGACACAACCTATATAAATGATAGAGAGGTCTGGTTGCTTCCCAGTGCTCCACAGTGTGTCCATGAGAATGATAAATGATAATTCTTATGTGGCCCTTCTTATTTTATTATATGATCCATGTAAGAAATCCCTATAAGTCTGCAATGTATAATCAGGATTTATACATTTTTGAAAAGTATCGATTATTTAGATTTAAATGATAAAGTGCTACATCAGTGCCAATATTTAGCCAAATTTAGCACACACAAAATTAAAAAGAGCTCATAAAACTGTTATACCTGCAAAGTAAGAGGTTACATATGAAACATTTAATTAGAGGTTTTAAAAATGATGTTGTTTGTTTGATTTTTCCCAACATTCTCAAAATGTTATGTTTTCACATAATAGTACTAGATTAAACACTAAATCTTGAAAACTACCTGAGCAATTTCTTGTAAATTTTACTCTTATGTTCGGTAGTATTTATTTCTGTGAACAATGAAGGAAATATGTAATGTACTAAGATCCTCTCATATCGGGTATTGATCCTCTTCCTGTTGAAAGGAAATAAACACTGTTTATTTCCTTTACAGGATGTGAGAGGATATAAGCGCTTGCATATTTCCTCTACATTATAAAATATATTTTAAAAAAAAGTAATTATGTTATGTGGAATTGACTTATTTAATTTAAAGTTATATATTTTTTAAAATTTTCTTTTTCATTTTAGATTAACTTTCTAGTTTGTCAACTTTTGGCTTTAATTTTGGCCTTTCCTTTCCGAAGTCTGTTTTCACCAGAGAAAGTTGGAGCTAATACCAGACATGTTGTTGAGACTCTTGTTGGTGTTATTCTTACAGTATTTTGCTTTGGAATGTAAGTTAATTTTTTAAAATTCATAAACTGTATTTTCGGGTCATATACTAATGGTGCAATAATAACAATATTATTGTAAATACTGTCCTGTTTGGCAGGCAGCTGAAATTTGAAGGTTTCGACTCACTTAGCATCCTAAAATCCATCAGGTTACATGGCAAATAAGAAATAAGTAAATAAATGTTTAATTATGTGAATTTAGATATTAATTAATTAATTATTTTGAATTTATTTTTGTGATACTGTTAATTTATGTGTTATGTACGTATATTTGTATCAAGATTTGTACGCAGTCTACAAAAAATATGAAATTTAGAAAATTGAATTTAGATTTAAAAAGTCTAGAAAATAATATTTGTTTTTGGGGTATTTAAAAAAAAAATCTGGAATTTAATTTTGCAAGTAAAACTTTTCCAATATGTCTGTATTTTTGGACTAAATAAAATAAAATTTTTAGTGTTTTTTCTTCAAAACTTATTTCAAGAATGATTGTGCGCGTCTACACTGTACAGGCTCATCTATTGTTTAGGTTCAGTTTCTCTTTGTGCAGTATACACACCTTACTATGAAGAAGTCTGACACTTATTGTTTTGAGCTTGCAGGCTGCTGTGATGGAATGAAGTTATTTACCAGAAATGGAATGTGATGGAATAAAGTTGTGTATTTACCAGGGATGTGACTTTCCCTATTTTTAGCGGAAATCAGATTTTTCCGTCTCAGCTGCAATATTCCTCCACAAATTTCATTTTCTCCTAAATTGTCCTCTAAATTTTTATTTGTGCTAACTATTGTCGATTTTTACTATGGCATCAACGTTAGTTTTAAAGAGCATCCTACAACATTGACTTGGTGATACACAACATATGTTGATTAATCCAAGTCAGGGGCCATACGCAGCAGTGTAGTGTAACAGGGACTTCCAAGAGCGCCCCGCTACTTCCCTGACACCCGGGCTGTCGTCGAAGTGTGTTTTACCTCACTATTACAGAGAGTCAACATACTCTGACATATTGGGAAGAAGAAAAAATGAACAAAAAGAATGGATCACAACAGAGACATGGGCCAAGAAAAATGAAGAGGCTCTATGAAGTAACCAAGACCCTATCAGGCAAGAGTATTAATCCCAATAAACCAGTGAAGGATAAAGTAGGAAATATCTTAACAAGTGACACAGAACAGAGAGACAGATGGGTACAGCACTTTGAGGAGATTTTAAACCATCCTCTCTCATCAAACATCCCTGATATACCACCTGTAAATCACCCACTAAATGTGTGTACAGATCCACCCACAAAGTTAGAAACAATAAGAGCAATAAAGAACATGAAAAATGGCAAAGCAGCTGGCCCGGACGGCATCTCACCAGGGGCACTCAAATCATACCCACCATAACAGCAGACATACGACATCCTCTACTTAAGCAGATTTAGGAAGAAGAGATAATCCCATATGACTGGAAACTGGGCTACTTGATAAAACTGCCAAAGAAGGGAGACCTGACACAATGCAACAACTGGAGAGGGATAATGCTTCTTTCAGTCCCAAGTAAGGTGATGACAATAATCATCCTAGAGAGACTTAGAGATGCATTGGACTAAAAGCTGAGACAAGAACAAGACCACATTGCCACGCTGCGCATAATTATTGAACAGTCCCTCAAGTGGCAATCCCCTATACATGACTTTTGTCGACTTCGAAAAGACTTAACCTCAATCATGGAGATATGGTTCTTTCAGACTTTTTTTCTCCAGTATACATTGGGGGGGGGGGGGGGGGGGGCTAACACTGGTAAAAGTATAGATTTTTTTATTTAAATTCTATTTCTTTGGGGGGGGGGGGGGGGGGGGGAGATGCATGAAAGAAACAACATGCACACACAAACCACTTTTAAGATTAGACAAAATTGGCTTTTTATTTTTCTTATTTACTCAAGAATCAATGATGCCAAATTATTTTGTGTACTTTCCTGGCTTTAGAATATTTTTATTTCCTACTAAATGTTCCATGTGACTTCACATTTCGTTTTTTGTATAACTAAGAATGTTTTTACTATGCTTGTGTTTTCTCTATATTTAAAACGTTCCCAACAGAGTGACAGACAGCATAACTATTATTATAGGAAATTATGAAAGTGTGGATTTGTTTGTTTGTCTGTCGTTTGTGCAGTACTATACCTTTCATCCAATTAACATGAAAACCTTTCATCCCATAAACATGAAACTTGAGAAATCGTTGAGAATACTCCTGGGAAGGTTTCTGTAAAAATAATATTTTATTTTGAGCACAAGCTATTTTTACGTTTATTAAGTATCTTAAGCGGTTATTTTGAGTTTATTACTAGATTTGGATAAAAAAAACACCCGATCTACATTGTTTTAAGTTTTAACACAAAATGATGATGCAGTCCTACTATGATTTGGATACATGATCTACCACGTTCTTATCTTATTTCAAATTCTACATTGTTTTATGTTGCTAAAGTTTTATCTGCATTAAGATATAGATATGTAGATATATTTTGATATAGATATCTCGGAGGTCCTTGAGCAACCACAATTGATGGTTTTTTTTTTACCATCTGTCTTCGTCTTCTATTACTTTATGTAATTCCTTGATGTCCTCCATCCAATGTCGTCTTTGTCTTCCTCTCCCTCCTGTCAAATGTGCCTCGCACATTTATTTTCAATAGGCAGTTGGCTCGTGTCACAAGCCAATACCATCTGATTTTCTTTGCTTTTACTGGAGTCTGCATAAGCATCTCTTTTCAAGGACCTGGATCGACTTGGAGGTATGCACAGAGGACGTGACGAGTGATTGCATGGGTTTAATTTTGGTGTCAAGAGTTCTATTGTCACACTAATTGCTTCTTAATTTGCTGAGTGCCATGGTGGTTTGGGCAATTCTTGCAAGTGCCTCATGCTTTGTTCTCTTATCTATAAAGACATGGTATTTTTCACTAAGTAACCTAGGATTAAAGATTTGATTAGTTGTGCTGCCTTCCTGTCTAAAGTCAGCCTGTTCATCAGCTATATTTTCAGATTGTGGCTTTAGTCTGTTTAGTATTATGATTTTGCTTGGATGTCTTCTAAGACTCATGGTGCAGTAGTTGTTGGTTGTATGTATATATATAAAACATTTTCATTGCCAACATACTTACTGTATAGTAAAAATTTAATTTTAAAAGTTTTATGATTGCAACAACACATTTTTAAAAAATAGAAATATCTATAGTATATGCTACATTTTCTTGTTCTGTAGAAAACATTACAATCCATTGTAATATTTAATATGTTGCTGTAGCTCTGATGAGACATATTTATCATTGGCAAACCTTGGAAGGTAGTAGTAGCCTGCTGTCCATAAGGACATATGACACCAAGAAACTTCCAGGCATCTCAATCCTGGGCTAGTTTCTCCAACTATAATGTCCATTTATTTTGTTGAAAATATTTTGTATAGAAAAAATTCATTTAATAATAATATTTATTTTATCTATAGGCAAATTTGGCATCTTATGGCTCAGTCATTGGTGAGCTATGTTTTTCTAGCCTATGGTGGTAAAAAACACAGTCACACTTTCGTGTTTTTGTTCTCAATGCTTTACCTATCAATCTGTCACATTTATAGACAAGTGTATGACTATGGAGGCTACACTTTGGATATAACAGGGTAATATTTTAATATGATACATAATAAACTTTGTAAAGACATGATATGAATAACATTTTGGTTTACAGTAGAAAGTTAAAAAGAATACTAAATTACTGAATTTTTTTGATAAACTGCCAACTATTGCATGTATAAATATTTTTATTTAGAACAGTGTAAGGTTATCAATTTAAACCAAATTTTGAAATCAGACAACAGACCTAACTGCCCATGAATAATAGCTCTCCAAAAACATGGAGTTTTTTTTTTATTTTTTAAAAGTGTTGAATTACTTATATACTTTTTATTGAATGTAAAGCTAATAATTATGAATTTACAGTAACTAAGCCATGTTTACTTGGTGTAAATGTAGACATATATTTAGCCATTATTTTAGCTAACTTTTTTTCTTTTTTTTTTGCAGCCCACTTATGATTCAGACCCAGAAACTTACTAGTTTGGCTTTTGCTTTGCATGATGGAAGGTTTAAGGATCAAGCTGTTCTTTCCAATGATCAGAAGGAACAAGCTGTAAAGTGTGTACTTTTTGTGTAAAACTTCATCTATCTAACATGATATATTTATATTTAAACTTGTCATGCAGTGTTCTGTTATTGAAACAGTTCAATTACAACATTGGAGTTATGTACATCCTACACTTCAAGGTCAATGCAAGAGCCTGACACTTTCCTAGTTACTGGTGTGATTAAGGAAGTGATTTAAAATTCTTACACTTTTTTAAAGGATTTTTCAATGACAAATTAATTTAACTTTTCCTCCATCTACTGGAAATGTTTTAAAAATTACTTCTCCATGGGTTATGCTAACTACTGTGGAAATAACTTACCAGACATTTTGAAACATCCACTACACATAATATATAATTTTATTTTAAAATTTCTCTGAAAATATAAGTTCTATATCTTTTATTAAATGACTAACCTATAGTAACATCTACAAAAAATGCTAATTACCTGTTTGTGATCTGGACCTAGGAATTTTTAAAAAAAAGGTGGAAAAATAGAATCTTTCAAGTTTATTTACTTTTATCGTGTTCAAAATAGAAAAAGGGAGAATACTTTCCTGATGGTGAGCCTGAATATTTTTGATAATAAAGCAAAAGTGATCTACCCTAAACTTTCTCTTAATATTCTTATATAACACTACGGGGATGGCAACTCTGGATATAGACATGATTTTGAATCCATTTTTAATTACTTAAACTTTTAAAAATAGAATAGAATCTCATAGAAAAAATAATTGTGCACCTAGTGAACTGCAAACAATATGTGTATAATAGTGCGGAATAAATTCATATTCGTTGGGGTTTTTTTTTTTTTTTTTTGAGAAATCGGAAACATTGAAATTACTACTTTTGGTCAACGGAAATTACTCAAAATTCGACAGAAGGCAGAGAATTAGATCTTTTACTTATGCGTTATATTTCATCTATCTGAAATATTACTCAAGTTATAGGCTATTGAAAACCCAAAAGTAGAATAAGTTCCACTTTTTCCCTCATCAGAAATTGCTGAAAAGCTGATACAGAACTACAAATTTGATATAATACTTATATACAAAATTTCAGCAACCTAACTGTAACAGTATTCAAGTTATTGTGTTCATACACACACACACACACAAACATACGGACAAAATTGCAAAACTATGTTTTTCCTACTCAGGATTACAACACCTCCCCTAATACTTTGTATACGAGAAAGTAAAAAAAAGGAGCTAACAATAACTTCAAAAGCTATACTAAACCATGGTAAAGTTTCAGAACCAATTATGTTCTCTGCATCAAAACCAGATTTTCCAACTAACTTTTGTAACCTTTCTTGATGATGACTCTGTTGATATCATTGAAACAATGCAAGCAAAAAGGGTGTAACGCTGTTAATCTTATGCCAAATGAAAATGTTGTTATCATTGTTCTTGTGAACCCTTCATTGAGCGTAGGGATGCAACCACATCGTACTCCTTTTTGGGGTGATTTCTCAAAATTCAGTCCATGATATTGTGGCTGCTTGTATTTCACAGACCACTAATCTTTTCCAAGTTTGTTTTTAGCATACGCACGTTTCTCTTTCCTTGTGGATTCAAATATATTGCCTGTTTGGTGATTTTTTTTTTTTTAAATTTCACAGTGTGTCCAGTCGATCCCCATTTCACCTTGGTATTGCTTTGTCAATAATGTTTTCCCTCATTTTTTTATGTTGTTAATTATTTCAGTCTACCCAATGTGCAATATACGATACATGTTTACACATGTATGAAGTTTGTTAGTATTAGTTTGTATTACTTTACTTGTCTCAGAACCTTAGAAAAGAACAAATTTCTCATTGTTAAATAATTGTTTCTTGGAATGCATAGAAATGCTCTTGACATCCAGATTCTGCAGAGAGTAGTGAATGTGTATCTGGCCTTACAGATGCAGCTTTTGATGTCACCATCTGCTCTACCATCCTTGCTTACTTAACTTACTAAAGTTTCTTTAATTTTAAATATGTTAAATTTTGAATTTTCATTTGTTTTGTTTCTTGTAACCTCTAGCAGCTGTTATCACATTAAAATTTTGTAACTGCAACAATTACATACATTTTTTTTTAACAGAAAACTGCCAAATCTCCTCCAGTTTCTTAGCTACATGTTTTATTTTCATGGCATTATGGTTGGGCCATTGACATTTTATAATGACTACTTAGCATTCATTGATGGCTCAAGTTTTTCTAAACCTGTTAACAGTAATGTAAGTAATTCTTTTAGTTAATTAAATTATAAACAGAATTAGCCATTTGCATGAACTTTCCACTATTTTTCAGAAATCCACTTTTTCCATTTGATGAAAATTTTCCTTTGAGAACAAAAATTACTATATTTTTGCCAATGACAGACTTTAAAAAAAAAATGGAAATCTTTTCTATAGAAAAGAATCCTGTTCACACAGTTACTACTTTATCTGAGGGAGGGGAAGTGGGAATTGTTAGTCTATGGCACTAAGATAAATACAAATGGTATAAAATATAAAAGAAATTGGACAAACGGGGAAACAATCGTCTGACAGGGTTAGCCAACACCTGTGTTCAATAAATAATGAAGACAGTCTTCCTGTGGCCAAACACTTTAACAAGAGTGGACATGACATAAAAAAGGACTTTTGTGTAACCGCCCTTCGGTTTTGCCACAATTTTAAAAACCGCCTAAACACTGAAACATGACTAATACTTAAATTTGGTTTGAATGAACAGGTATCTTTCACCTAACCACCCCCCCCCCCCTCCTCTCCCATACACCACGCCCCCACCCCTATACGGTGTCCAAGTGTCCTTTTCACCCGTCTTTTCTTTTGGATATTGTGACTTGTAGACAAGACGTGTTTTCACTGTCGAGCTAAGTCAAAAATTGTGTTACTGTTTGTCTTTTTCTGTCTAATCTGTAACCCCACTGTTGTGTGCTAACAAAGACCTTGGGTCGAAACGTCCATAGTATTTGTAACTGTCTTTAACTTGTGAGTTAACTAACACTATCTGTTTTATTATTAATAGTCTATGGCACTTAAACTTATTGCAACAGCATGGATGTTCTATGACTATATTTAAAACTTATTTATTGAAAGAGTTATGGTGCATAGACATTGTCACACAATTCTATTAATTATTTTTTATCAAGTGATAGAGGTTGTCAGAAGTTGCAGACAATCATAAAAAATTTTTTGTTAGGGAGTGGGTACTGAACTTTTGGATGTCATTTGTTGTGTGGCTGTAAATGACAATATCTGTTGAGCGTAAAATTAGCTGAATTAACCTGACTCCTAGGTTGTGGAATAAAAATATCTATACTAGTGTAGCTCTTCGTAGGTTTATCTCTAGCAGAAATGTAACTATTCCTCTTTTGTTTCCATTTTTTAGAAAATTGGCAGGCACAAAAAAATTGATAATTTTATGCTGATTGTAGTTTTTTTAAAGCGATTTATTTTACACCAATCTATTTTTTCTTTATGTTTTGTATTGACAGGGAAAATAAACCGGGACTGATCTCCCCTAAACTTTCTCGAATATTCTTATATAACACTACGTGGGATGGCAACTCGGAATATAGACATGATTTTTAATTACTTAAAATTTTTAAAAAGAGAATAGAATCTCGTAGAAAAAAGAATTGCGCACCAAGCGAACACCAAAACAAAATATGCATAATAGTTGGGGACTATTATTAGTACTTTACATGTTTTTGAGAAATCGGAAATAGCGTAAATTACTACTTCCGGTCAACGGAAATTACTCAAAATTTGATAGAAGGTAGAGAACTAGATCTTTTACTTACGTGTGAAATTTCATGTATCCATCTGAAATAGTACTCAAGTTATAGGCTTTTAAAAAATTCAAAGTAGAAAAAGTACCACTTCCGGTTATCGGAAATCGCTCAAAAGTTGATACGGATCTACGATTTTGATAAAATACTTATATATGAAATTTCATCAACCTAGCTGTAACGGTACTCAAGTTATCGTGTTTACAGACACACACACAAACATACACACAGACATACGGACAAGATAATCTCGAATTTTTTTTTTGCACGATTACAAGACTTTCCCTATACTTCGTATATACGAGAAAGTTGAAAAAGAGAAATAAATTTAAAGGACTATTTTATGTATGAATCAGAAATGTGCAAGGCATGCACTTTTTTCACCATCAATTATGTTTACTCAAGCTTTAAGGACACTTTTAGCTACATGTATCTTCATAACACAAAACTCATTTAAGTTTAATTTCTGCAAGAGCTGTAAAAGATATCTATTTCAATGTTATTTTGATTTTTAAAAATCACTATATTTATGCTAGGTTTTGAAATAAAATGATGTATGCCATCCTACTTATCAGGGTCTTAATCTAATTGTTTTGAAACTTATCTTTCACTTGTTCCAAAAAGTCTTTTTTTCTTAGTGAGGCAATTAAAAAGTTTATTGTAATATTATATTATGTGCCTTTTTTTATATTTACTTACATTTTTTATCTATAGGAATGTGGCACTTTGAAACATCCAGCAACAGATTTGAATGTAAGTGGGGTTGTTGTTGTTTTTTTGTCCTCACATTTTAGCATCCTTTTTGGGACAAGGAGGTTTACCAAATGTGAACAAAACAATTACACACATTAACAATACTAGAACTAAACTAAAAATAAAACTAGTTAACACAGGTCAATACATAAATTTACCCTACATTTACAATATAAGTAACATAAAGACATTTTTAGTCATCCTTTTATACATTCGCACTACTCACAAACAGTTCAGTCAGATATACAGCAACAGGCGGGGTATCAGCTCAGTTCGTCACACTATAAGACCTCAGTTCAAATGGTAATACAACAGTGCAGTGACATCTAGCGGACAGGTACAGAGACATTTGGCCAATAGGTACAGTTACATCTAGCTGACAAGTAGTGGCATTTGGCCTATTAGTACAGTGACATTTGGCCTTTTGGTACAGTGACATCTAGCTGACAAGTACAGTGACATTTGGCTGAAGCTCCAATGTGCTTACATCCTGCCTCCAACAGAAGATCATGTCTCTACTAACTCTCATTAACATGTCTTTTATATTTGACCTTGGGGAAACAATTCACAACACAATGGCATACTCAATACAAATCACTATCACACATGTGTACTAACCAAAGGTGTAACTAACCAAAATCACACACTTCTAAACACACAACTCACAATCTATTCTTAAAATAAATTGACACAAGGCAACATTAGTACATTTTTGCATAGATGTGAGTATATGTCAGTTACAGATGTGGTTTAACATTTTTTTATTGATTTGTACTTGTGAATTATTTCTTCATAGTGATTAGTGATGTATCAGTTGTTATATGATTTATTCTTAGAAAATATCAGCATATATCTGATGTTATAAATAATCAAGACAACTTTTAGAAAAGCATTGCACAAACCTAAGGTTAATTTTAGTTTAAGTGTAGGCCTTAATTATAATATTTTGTGGTCAAATGATAGAGCGTTTGATTGCTAACCCAAAAGTCTCTAGTTTGGATCACAGGCTTGAGTCTGTTGGACAACTTGGATCCACCCAGCTCTCATGGTAACTGAGCATAATGCTGACCACACAATCTCTTTATATGCTGAGCTCACTGAAACAGGTGAACTGTACTTGACCTGCCACATGGACAATAAGATTGAAAAGAGTACTTTACTTACTTTACCCCTACATTACCCCGGTCCTATAACTGCTGTAGGAAATTACTTCTGTCAACCAAGCATCATGAAGAGAAAAGGTATGGATAAGATGAATAATAGGAATATGATTTTAGTTAGGAGTAGGGTTAGGAATATGCAGATAAATATGGGGATAGATAGGTATAGGTATAACATGTATTCAAAAGTGGGTTTAAATATTATTGGAGATCCTGTACATATTTAACACTAAATGGGTACTGGTGCCTTTTTTACTTTCTTGTATACTTAGTATAGAGGAAGTATAGTATTTTAGTCATTTAAAAAAATCAAAATACAGTTTTCAACTACTCTCGACGTTTTACAACAGAATAACTTTTTTTCTTCTTTTTCTATTGAAATTTTATACATAAAGTATTTTATCAAATTTGTAGTTTTCTATGAACTATGTGATTTCTGATAACTCCTGATTTCTCAATATCCGAGTTCAAGTGGACAAAATTTCACATATTATATTAGCATTATATTGTATGCACATTTTTCTATAAATTTTTTTAAGATTTCCACTAACCTGAAGTGGGATTATAATAACTTTGTACTGTTTCAGTTAAGTAGATGAAATTTCACATAAATATATAAGATCTTATACTTGGATTACTTTCAATTTTTAAGTGACTTATAATATCTATTTATGGTTTCAAAAATACCTACAATTTAAGTTTGTTGGACGTTATTTCATAAATAAGCATTTACCCCACAGGATGCTTGCTTTACTTACCCTCCAGTTTCTCAAAAAATTCTGAATTTTATAATTACAAGTTTTTAAAATTTATTTTGATCTGTATATAGAAACTTGCTAGCTAAATTGCAAATGCTCCTACCGTACCGTTTTTTTTCCATACTTTTCTCGTAGCTCTAGACTTGATGACAATACATTGTGACAAAAAAACAACTTAGATGTTTAATTAGCTTTTTAAAAAATTGTTTGCTTTAATTTAGTGCCAATTTCTTTACTATGCGATTTTAAAAGTTAATAAAAAAACATTTTAAAACATTAATAAAGATACATTTCTATATAACTTTTGGAATTTAAGTGTTTTCCATCAACTTCAGAGCAATTTTGTTAACCGGAGAGTGTATTTTGCCCTATTGACGATTTCTCAAAAAACCTGCACAATTTGATAATGTTAAAGAATTTTTCACTGTATGTATTTTCTTAAAATGTGTGTGGTTTATTTACAATCTTCTATATTTCTATAGCATTTTTGCAGTGGAAGTACCGTCCCTCTTACTGTTGTATATAAAAGAATACAGTGGTACCTTGAGATATGAGTTTGATTTGTTCTGTAACATTACTCCTATGTAAAACAATTTTTCCCATAGAAATTAATTGAAATGCCACTAATTCATTATTTTTTATACATGTTTTTTAACGAGAAAAATGTATTTATACATGACAAATATTGTTTAATAACATAAAATGTATTTACTTTGAAAATAAGCCAACTTAGCTTATAGAAAATGTTGGTGGAGGTGTAGGTCTGATGTCTGAGTGTAGGGTTGGGGAGATAGACGTTGTAGCCTCACTTCTTTTAACTTACTCACTGATAATGCTAAGCTCATTTGATCTTTTCAATCTACTTACTTGTTACACTTTTGCCAAACTATACCCCTAAACTTAATGGAACTTGAACTTTATCGAACTCAATTGAACCTAAATGCTACTATTTAACGTTACTTTCAGTAATTTTCATAACTGCTTTTCACTTCACTGTTCGTCTTTGCTTTTTTCGCCATGCTTTCCTCAATAGCTCCTGTCTCAAAAATCTTGTATGTCATGGCACTTGTAAGTTGAGGTACCACTGTTTATGAGAAAATTTAGGGGAGATCACTCACACTTTATTTGTATAGTAGCCATAGAGTATGTTGTGTGTGTACAATATTTTGTGTAATAGTGTGCTATGAAGGTGTTTAAGGCTGTTTACTCTTAACTGTTACAATTCTGATCATTTATTTTAATTGTATCACACAGTGTTGTAGTTTGACAGGAAAGGAAAAGTAAGTAACAAGTGATGTGACTGTTTCTTATTGAGAACTAACATATTTGTTGAACAAACTGTGTAATTGAGGAATGGCAGACGACGTGTAGGTTAAATTTTAGAATCGAGTAAAAGTGTATGTTTTGCTGCTTTGAACGGAGATATGCATTACTGGGTTGTTTTTTTTTTAAATTTATTTTAACACACATACATATTTCAGTTAACATTAAAATCTAGATGTAAGTATAAATGGCTGGAGCGAATAGCCAATAAAGCTAATATATAATGTTAGAGGAAGTTGAAAAAAAAGTTTTTTTTAAATGTTCATGTACCAAGTTTAAGCTGCAATTATTAAAAAGAAATACAGTAATTACAAATTTGCAAATAAGTACCAATTTCCTGTGCAGATGTCAAACTAGTAGTACCACTGGTGAGGTTAATAAATACTTATTACAAAGTTTTCTTTTCATACATTACAATCCATTAGGTGAATGAAATATTCATCGTTTCTTGACCGCAGCATAAAAAGAGATGACCTGCCTTTACTTTCCCTAATATGAGTCAGTTACCCATCATTTTACAAACTCTGGTACCTAATTGTAATTTGTATAAAGTTATTGGTCTTTTTACAACCTTTCTAGTTGCAATATGTGTCAGCTGTCCAAAAATAGATCTGAGTTACCCTCCACTGGTTTTAATGCTGTCAAATAATTTCATCAAAATGTATCTTTTCTAGGATGAATGATTATGAATGCTTGTCAGAAAATAAACGGCCTAAATTAATCCAGGGGGCTTTTCTAAAAACTAAATGAGTTGACTAATCTTGTCAGCAATTATATAACTTTACTTGTGATATTGAAACATCTTTCATGGAAGTGTCAAAATGTGATTATGGAAGAATTTGCCAACCTTCTCCTTATTTTACTATATTTCTTGCAAATTTGTTTTTGTTAAGTAACTGGGAACTTAAGCAAATATATTTATACTTTTTACATTCATTACGACCTGAATTCTTTCTCTGCACAATTAAAATGCTTTTTCTGATATAGTTTCCTATTTTCTGAAGAAGAAAAAATACAAAATCATATTGATGATATATCAAATGTGTGTACAACTAATACAAGCCTTACAAAATTGAATATATATAGACTCTGGTATCTTCAATAATAAGCCACCAGTGTCACTTTACACTTCCTTCTGTCCTTCATCGGCATGGACACTTTGTCTCTGTTGTGCTTGGGGAGGTGGCTCTATCTGCACAGACACCAGGGGAAATGTGGTGTTAGATTACGCCACGGGTTGGTGGAGGAGGAAATCTGGGCGGACATCTGTGAAAGCATAGGCTTATTTTATTTTACTGTAGTTTTTCTGTGTATTGAGAGAATATATCCATATCCACACCAATGCAATGCTTACACAAGGACATCAGTCCCAGTGTTGCGCCATTTCTATTACCATAGCGAAGCACTGGTATAAGCTAGTTTTTACTAGAATATCTATAGACAATTTATGTTTATTTTCTATTTTGCATTTTAAAGCTTATTATTGTAAAGATTTTTATACTAGTTTTTTTTTCAGAGCTATCCATAATAAGCTTTAAAAGACCAAAAGTAAATAGTGACGTTGGTTAAATAATAAAGATATAACATATTATTGATTATTGTCCTGCACTTTTTTAGAAGCTGGTGTTGAAAAAGTTGATAATAACAACAGCCTGTGGTATGGGAATGATAATACTTCCAAGTATATGTTTTCCACCTGAAATAATAAACAGTAAGTACTTTTTTAGTCCTTTTTTGTTAAACACCAATAATCTATATAGGTATGACTCACTGAATGATTAAGTCTCTTCAATCACAGCGTGTTTCTGGGTATTTTTTGTATGCCAGTTATAAATAGACCAGACCACCCAGTTTTCAGTTTGAAACTATTGGCTGTACTGCACAACACAAATCAATATCCTATTATGCCCACCCCACCCTTGAGAGTCTTTTAACCCCAAATGAATCAGTATTCCTAGAAACTCATGCCCAAACCCTTTGGGACATCCAATAGGGGGGGGGGGGTATTTGATTTCTTTTTAAATCCAAAGGATAATGGGTTGTCTTGTATTATATGAAATGTTGTCCATTATCATGAAAAGATGACTTGGGGACTTACTTTTTTTTCCACAGCACCAGAATATTACAATATGACTTTTTTAAGTAGAATGCTTTATGTATTGGGTGTCATGACAATTGCAAAGCACAAATACTACTTTGCTTGGAAGCTGGGTAACTATTGCATTATGTTGTCTATAACTTAATAGTGGTTTGCTTTGACTTAATTCCATACTGATAATTTACTTTAAGAAGTTATGTTTTCTTCTATTCTTTCTTTTCTTCATTCTTAATTTTAGTGTTGGAAGGGATCCCCTTAAACGCAATTAAGTATGTGTCAAATGGTTATGCGCCATTGAGGCCATTGACTCAGATTTCAGCCTGCTTTTGTTTTTGGATTTGCTTCCATAGCCTTTGTCCTACCAAGAACAAATTACAAGGCAGCAGTTGTTTGATCTTGGAGTTCTCTCTCCTAGAAGAGTGGCTGTCCATCTTAGAAGAGTGGCTGTCCCCAGCTAACGAGCCTCATCTGCCCGAGGGTTCGAACTTGAGACTTTCCGGTTTAGCAACCATCAGTTTTACTGACTCGACCACGCCGACCCCTATTTGTTTTCTATTTCAAACATTTTATTTATTCAAGCTTGTTTCTGTAGGGAAACGAATTATTTTCATGATTGAAATGTGTTCAAATGAGTTGGTAATACATTTTCTAATCGTTTCAGCTGATGCTGTAAATAATGCTGCTGGTTTTGGGTTTAGTGCTTATGATTCACTGGGAAATCCCAAGTGGGATCTTACGGACAATGTTGATATTAGAGGTGTTGAGGTAATTCTTATTTTAGTTTAGATGTTTATCTTTCATTGTTAGTTAAGCCCAGGCTCTAAATATTTTTCCTAGCCATTATGGCCAAGCAAAGTAAAATAACGCTTTTAAAAAAATTGTTGCTTCGAATAAATAATTAAAAATCCATGTGCCTTAGAAAATTAAAGCAAATTGTAATTCTCAAAGAAAGACAGATGTAGATTATTGTGCATTACTTTTAATTACTGTGCAAGTAAACATTTTAGTTTAAAAAGTAATAGATTTTGGTGTCACCCCCTCTTTTGTCATTGATTGACTTATCTGTTATTCAAAATACTCAGCAAGCCTTTAATTCTCTAAATTTTGCAGTAGGTGTCTCTCACACACACACACACACACACACACACACACACACACACGCCCTTTGGTGATAGTTTTAAAGTGTGTACAGTTAATAGTAAAGATGGTATCTATAGTCAGTTATTAATACAGGTGGATTAACTCTGATTAATCATTAATTGAACTGGCAAAAAGCATTTTTTGCATATATTTTGCAAATTTCCACCATGGTGTCACCCCCACCCCCTTGCCTTGCAACACCCCTGTCTATAATTTCTTTTCATCTACACACACATGGGCAGTACTGTTGTTATTCTTCAAAGATAATTCAAAAGCTCTCAAGTCTATCACAGACTACAGAACAGGTCACCAGTGCACTACTTGATAGTTATGATGGAATGATTCCTACATTTCAAATAAAATAGAAGAGTTTGAATTCATGGAGATATTTTATTTTTTGAATTTCTTGCTGGATAAATTTCACTAGTCTAGTCGATCACACATTTATCTTAACAACAACACAAGATAAATTATGTTATGATTTAAATAGAAAGTGACAAACAAAGCAGTTTATCTTTTGATGTGTTCAGTGAACTTGCTCAGTCAAAGGAAGAGAACATATTTTAGTTTAATTTAATCCTTATTACATTTTTCAAGAGATGAGGCTGTGGGTAGTAAATTTGAAGAGACCTTTTTGATTATTTAATACCAGAATTAGTATTTTTTAGTTTGTTATTAATAAAAATAATTTTACAGTCTTTATACTCCTTAATAGTATTTAACTTGAACCTTCTAGGTACCCAAAAATCAATCACTGACATTGTATCTAGACTTACAATGAACCCATATAAAAAACCGTTATAGTGCCTTATCAAGTCAAAATAAGGCATTGGATCTAAGCTAGATTGTTAAGTTATCCAAAGCACTAATGTATAGCGTTTAAGAGGTAAAGACTATTCTAATAATTTAGGCCATTTACCCAGTCATTGTATACCAGTTCTTGCTCATGAACTTTGAAAATTTTATATCATATTGTAAATAGATAAGTGACGGAGTGGTCTAGCGGTAAAGAGCTGGACTGCTAACCCGTAAGTCTCGAGTTCGAATCCAGGTTCAAGTCAGTAGACTGTCCCTGAGTCCACCCAACTCTGATGGGTACCTAACTCACGTTAGGGAAAGTAAAGGCGGCTGGGCATAGTGCTGACCACACTATCTCTTCATATGCCAAGGTCACAGAAACAAGTGAACTCTACTTCACTTGCCCCATAGACAGTCAGGTTTGAAAGGGAAACTTTAACTTTACTTTTAAATACATGTTTAGCATTTATTATTTAATTTACGTTTTCTGTCAAAATGAATTATATTTTGTGAACTATTTTACAGCTTTCTACTAGCCTTAAAATTAATATTGAAAGCTGGAACAAAAAAACAACTATATGGCTGCGACGTGTAGTTTATGATCGGGCACCTTTTGCTAACACACTTGCAGTGTTTGCTTGCAGTGCTTTTTGGCATGGATTTTATCCAGGATACTATGTAACATTTGGTACTGGAGCATTGATGACAGTTGCTGCTAGACAGGTAGAAAATGTGTGTGTATATATAATATATATATATATATATATATATATATATATATATATATATATATATATATATATATATATATATATATATATATGTCCTTTATGTATTACTATACCTTTCATCCCATCGGCACGAAACTTTGGGATGCCGCTCCGGGAGGGTGCGGTTTTTTTTCTCAATATACAGTTTGGCGGCAAGAGTTTCCAGAGTGGCTTTTAGTGGGTCAGGGGTACTACTTGATTCAGCAGTAAAAATGCACCAGGCAATTACTAAGTAGTAAAAACCAATGGCTCCCAAGAGCAGTCCGCTATGTCCCTGACAACTTGGCGGCAGCTTAAGTGTGTTCTAACTCAATATTTTGGAGGGTATTTAATATACACTCAAGGCTTTCACACAGCAGCCCTGGGGTGTCTGGGCAGTAGTATGGACAAACTCGCACCCCAACAACTATGATCCAAGAAATATGGCAATCTTTGTTTATATTTAGATAACTCTGTTATAGAAAACAATGTAAGAGTGAAAGTACAAGATTGTTAATGAAATCCTTTTGAAACATTGTTGCATCATCCTTTCTTTTGATACTGCAGCAAAGCTTGGGGGTCAGGCACGCTAGTGTAAATTTGGAATAACAATAGATTTCCGCCCCTTCATGATAAAATACTGCCAACACTAGTTCTTTCTAAAGAAAAAATTAGATTTCTGCCAGAACAGTTACTGAGTTCACACATCTGAAATATTTGTTAATTTTCTTATTTCTATTCATGAGGACTGCAGACCAAGTGTTTAAGTAGTGTAAATAAAAGTACTGATGTGTAATAACCACTTCTATTTTTATGTATAATTTTATTTTGCAGGTTCGCCGACATATTCGTCCATGGTTTCAACAATCCCAAACTCATATCTTTGTGTATGAAGCAATTACTTTTATTGCAACTCGATTAGCCAACTGCTACATTTGCTTCCCTTTTCTGGTTTTGGAGTTCTATGCATGCTTTAATATGTATAGGTAAGGCTGATGTAAAATAATTAAGTTAAATATTATTTTTATGCAATTTTATTCATAGTGCAGGTTGGTATTGCTCTGAATATCAAGCTGACAAAAAATTTCCCCTTGAACTAAGCAAATTATAATTCTGGATTTGAATTGATTGTAATGCTCAATCTAAATGGTTTTAATAATCTGCATCTTTTCATGATCTTAAACCTATTTTAAACGTTCAAAAATTTAAATCCTCCGAGCTGGATTTATTTTTTAAATCAGATGTTTGAGAGAATGAAAATACTGAGTATTTAGTTTTATCTCAAGCTATTAAAAAAAAAATTTCTAGCAACAAATACAAAACTTAATTACTTATCCTCTACTATTTTATAAAAAGAAGTTTAGAATGAATTTTGAATTTTTCTTTAAACACTTTTTTTTGTTTACATTAAAAATGAAAAACACTATATAGTTTACTGTTTTCCCCAATATAAAAATGTATTTTTTTGCTTCCATTTGATTGATTTAGTCAAAATAAAACTTCAGCAATTTATAAAGACATTTAAGATTTTCAGTTTCAGCCTGAAATTGCAAGTTAACAGTTTTTAGTCATAACAAACAATCTTTTTATCTAGATATTTAATTATAAAAATTTTCTCCCCAGATCCCTTTACTTCTACTACCACATTGCCACCAGTTTGAGTTTTCTGTTCTTTTCATTCTCCCTGGATCTAAACAAAAAAGGAATAATAAAAAGAAATGACTCTACAAACTATATAAATAAACCAAACCATGTGATTTCATCAAAAAGTACAAGTTTAACTGAATCAAAACAAAGTAATAGTTCAATTGGAAGTGATGTAAAGAGTGAATAAATGTAAAAAAGAATGTTTCTTTTAAAAGCTGCAATGTTAAATGCATTTATCATTTTTTTTAAGTTACACAATGACTTGTGTTTTTATTAAAGGTTTGTTTTAAGATTTTAAAGATAGATTTTAAAAACATTACGGGTAACTAACTTTTAGAAATGAGGTTTGTCATTGTTAGATAAACCCAGACTAGTTGTTCTTTATAAAAAAAATTAATTAAAAAACATTTTGCACACACATACATACCCTAACACATGGGTTCCCAAACTTTTTTGCCGGGGACCCCCTTTTATAAAATGTATGTGACCCGCTACCCCCATAGAATTTGTAAGGAACTTCATAAACAACAAAAAGTTTTCTAATATAATTTTAATTTAAATTATTTTTGATAACTATTTTAATGCTATTGATGAAATTACATGCTATTTACTAGCCTCAAAATTCATGTTGACAAAAGAACTCCATTTCCTTTTTGGTGTGTTCTGAAACACTTTTCTCATAGACTCATGACTGAGAACAACTTTGCACAGTATACTTTGTGGCTTCTCTATTCAATTATTAGAATTTAGTGTTTGGTTTAGTCTACCAGTTGGCGATACCCCCCCCCCCCCCCTAGAAAGCCCTTCGTGACCCCGTTTGGGAATGCATGCCCTAACATAATTAACTGCAATCTGCAGTGTTACATTGTTTAAAATACTATTTCTGGACATAAAATATTATCTGAAGTGTTATACATTTTTATGTTTTATTAAACAGTTGCCTACTACAGACATGAAATAAGTTGCACTGGATATTTTGTAAACCAGATTATCATCTTGTATTTTTTTTATTTTAAAGCAAATGATTTGGTGTGTAGATTATTCTAATGCATATTTAAGTTAGTATAGCTTTCACTAATAGATTAATACCACAATAAGGGATTGTGCACATATTATACAACACAAACTTTTTTTCATATATTGACCCACCTTCTACTTCTACCCAATTTGATTTTACAAAACCTTTCACGCTGGTTGCTGTTTGTGGGGATTGCACTCCAATAATGGTTCCACGAAGGAGAAACACTAAAGCTGCTTGGTAGATGTATAGCTATTTTTTATTTCCACAAGTAACACACAAACATACCACATCCCTAAGATCTGTTTTCCCAGGCCTGGATTCCATCATATGAAAGTCTGTCATGGAGGGTATCTGTCCAGGTCACAACAATTTCCACAGATCACCACTTGTGTTGCAACATACAATCTTTACAGCAAAAACTGATCTTTATTTTTTTAATTATATGTCCATTAATTTTAGAGATAACAGTTTTTTATCATAACTAAAATAATTGCAAGTGTATACCCAGTGTCAACAAATTAATCCAACCATTCAAAATACAAGAAATTTCATACATTTAAGAATGAAGAAAATCCAATTTAAAGGCATATTGCTCTATGCTACTGGAAAAAAACAGTTTAATAAAACATTTGTGTTTTCTTATTTAATGTAAGTTTATAATAGGTGCACAATATCTAATCTTGTCTTCAGATGAATATACAATGAAGACTTTCAACTAACAGTAACAAATTATTATGATGTATGGTTTTGTCTGTCATAATTGATATGTGTGTAGAAGTGACAGTATAAATTATTGCTTTGAATCATGTTAGGATAATCTGTATAAAAATACGATTATCTTTTTTTTTATCACTTCATTGTATATTTTTTTTACATTGAAGATGGCATTGTTAAAAAATCAGAACTTACAAGAGCCATTGCCATACAAAAGAAACAAATCATCAGACCAGCATTAATTTTTTTTTTTTTTTGCATTACCCAGTGTTTAACTGTTATAACAATTAAAAAAAATTGTCATCAATTTTCATGACGGAAAGTCTTAGAAATTAATGTATGAAGATATTATAAAAACAAAAAGCCTCTGGTAATACTATGTTAATGTTAAGAAGAACCAGTAAATTATGAATAACAGTGATGTAATTGTATTAAATAATACAAAAGTACAATGAAAATGTTTTGTCAGTTAGTTTAATTAAAATTAACCTGTGTTGGTTATTATGATGCATTTTAAATTTGTGAAGATTATAAAATATTTCATATTCATTATAATGCTGAAATAATTTTATTGTGCATAAAATATGTACAAAAATTGTATTACATTTAGATTTAATGAATTTGATGAACTTTTTTTTTTGTTAAATAGTTTGATGGTTATTCCTTATGTTAAGTAATAAAACTTTTGACATACAAATTTAGTCAGGTTTTATGCCCTTACTTGTTTGTGAACGTGGCTATGAATCTTTTAGGCAAGTGGGGGTCACTAGAAGCTGTTTACATTTAATTTTATGGGTTATGCTACATTTTTAATCAATTATTGCCAATTTAACCTAGTATTTTGTGGGGGGGGGGGGGGGATGTTTAGCAGACCAGTTCTATAAAACCTTTATTCGTTAAGACTTAAGGTTTCCGTTATTCTTTTTTAAAAATGTTACATACTAGCAGCATATACCAGGCGCAGTGACCAGAAAGATGCGCTACGGAAAAAAGGCGTACATAGATAAAAGCACAAACAGAAAAAAGCGCGCACAGAAAAAAAGCGCAAAGAGAAATTTTAGCACAAAGACCTATATGGACTAGATGACACATTTATACATGATTGTTAGGGCGACTATGAGAGGGTCGTGTTTCACCTGACTCGATCTACTACCATTTAAAGAATACCACTACCATGAGCATTCACATCACAACGATACACGCGATAATCGCTTGACACAATGGGCTATTATTTTCTTGTTCAATATTTATTCAACTACTATTCTTGTTTAAATAAACATAAAACTATCCTTGATCGGCATTACACTGAGTATCTCTTACATTCTCCCTAGTACGAACTCCTTAGCTTGCATACCATAACAACCCGTTCCTATAGCAAAACCCCTCTCTTTCATCCGCATCATCAAAACGCATTGGTTATAACTCGCACCAACATTCATTCGCACAAAAATACCCTGATAAAACACACATCATAATGATGTATTTAATCTTATTTCATCATGACGCACCTACCTACCTACATACATACCTACATACATAGATACATACCTAACTACCTACCTACATATATATATGTTACGGTCAAAGCCCGAAGTCGGCCAATGCGCGAATTGGCGAACATCGCCTCCCATTGACCGGTCAAAGTCCGAAACTTAACTTGATCTTGGCCTTTGGCTGGCCAGTCCGCGGACTGGCCATGGTGGATCGGCCAATACCTAAAACTAAAATCAGAGCCGGCGTTAGGGGGTGGCAAACAGGGCGGTCGCCCCAGGCCCCGCGCTTGAAGGGGCCCCGCGATTCAGCACCGCCATTGATGTCTGATTTAGTTTGTAAACTTAGAAAGAATAGTTGCTGAATTCACTTGGGAAAAACTAAATGGTCGAATGCCGACGTTGTTGACCTGAGCTGACGGTAGATTGTTGGGTGCGAATTAGCCCCCGACCAGACATGGTATGTAAATTTGGGAAACACTTAAAGAGATAGCCTATTGTATGCGGACCGATGAAGACGTCCTTTTAGTGAGCAGACTGTAGTAGACAGTCGGTGACCTGAAGAACGCTAGCCCTGACTTCCTTGTTGTAGTTTTCGTATATGTACTTGTCTTGGTATAACAAAATTAACATTCAGTTGCGTGCAGAGGGGTGGGGGGAGGGCGACTAGGGGGGGGGGGCCTTCGGATCTATATCAGGAGGGGGGCATTAAACAGAGTGATTTATTATTATTTTTTGGAAGAAAGTTAAAAGTGTTATGTTGTGTCATCTTAAGGATTCATCCGTTCCAAGACAGAATGATTAATTTACCAAATTCATCCTAATTGTTTTATTCAATCGTCTTCCATTGGTGCTGACATGATATAGTCAGCGAATGGTCCTCGTCGCACAACTTTTATGGAGGAAGGGGAATCTTTGGAGGCAATGAAGGGTAGTGATTTAGTAGTCATTGATATTCCCTCAATAAACGCGGTCTTTCAATTTATATTTGATACTTTGGTGAACTTTAAAACACGACATTTGTAGAGTGATTAAGCAAATTAAAAAAAAAATAATTGTGGGAAATCCTTTACAATAGTTAAGACAATAATGATTTTGGTTTTAAATTTTTTTGTATGGATTCTAAACAAATTTTGAAGTCTATACTGTTTTACTACATCAGGCCGAGTTCACTGTATTGTCAAGTTGTCCTGATTTCTCACATGTCTAAAGTACCGACTTTCACGGCAGCCCGAGCATGCCATCGCGAAACTCATAAATAAGGTGTAGCTGGCTGTCACGTCGTTTTCTCCCTAATTATAGTCACAAACCTTCTCTTATGAGACCGCGATCACGGCCGGTAATGTAATACGTGGACGCTCTATAAACACAAACCTTCTTTTGAATGATTCCAGTCAGAGATCCATTAACGGAGTACTTGAACTTGGTGACCCTTTTTATTAAGGGTATGGCATCCCATAGCCATATATTTAAATGCACAGTTATCCTTTACCGCCCCCCACTAACTGCCACCCACCCCAAAGCTCCACCCTGCTGAGCGTCCGTGATTACATTTGAGAATAATTTCTTTTGGATATCCATAAACATAGAGTTTGCTTTCACGATTTGTAACCAGTGTTTATTCACGATTCGCTAAGTGGTCTGGTTGCCGAGATATGGGCCAAAAACTGCATATTTTTCGAGGTTTTTTGGCTTTCCGGGAAATCCAGGAAGGAATTCCGGGAATTTTTTTGGCCCACAATCATCCTCGGAACTTGCTTAACATATTTGCTTTTGGAACTAGTCCTCGATATTGCTTCGTTGAGGAGGACATACGACTTAAAGCTGCGCACATCCATCCATCCATCCATCCAGAAATGACGAGTTAATAATCGCAATTACTGTAAGGAAATTGCTCTAAAAAACAACAAAGAACATTGGGTAAATACGTTGGAGAGGTAACCATTGGCATTGGCTTATAAACTCCAAAACATTTATGTGTTATTATGTGTGCACGCATATTAAATAGGCATATATATATATATATATATATATATATATATATATATATATATATATATATATATATATATATATATATGTTACGGTCAGAGCCCGAAGTCGGCCAATGCTAGGATTGGCCGGCTAATATCGCCTCCCATAGGTCGGTCAAAGTCCAAAACTTTGCTTGATTTCGGCCTTTGGCCGGCCAATCCGCAGACTGGCCATGGTGGACCGGCCAGAGTCTTAATTAGAAGATCATCTGGCTAGAGACGACCGGCCAAAGTTCGAATTAGAAGATCATGAGCAGATTTTTTTTATGCCGTAAGGATCATGAAATTAAGTCTTTATTGGTTATTAATTAAAGTAAATGACAGAAACATTCAAATTTTTTTATTTTACTATAGTGTCAATCTATCAATATCATCATTTGTTACAACAAGTTGAACTTGGCATTTAGAATTACATAGCAGCTTTTTATTTTTACACTTGCAGCGATTTGTTGTGCACTTAATTGTGCAATTGCAGCGAGTGTAGCCTTGGCCCCCAGTCAATGATTGTGAAGATGCGATGGTTCGTAGTGATTTTTCCTCAGTGCCAACTGACGACAATAAGAGCAGCTTTTCGTGAAGAATTGAAAACTCACTTCTAGCATACAGTTGTTTTAGAACACCATGTTCCGTTCCTAATTTGTAGAAACCGCCCTCGACGCTCATGACAACTGCAATCACGCTTGGGGGATCACCGTGACCTCTGTCAACATCTGAAAAACGGATGCGTACATTGTCACCCACTTCACCATCTTTAAATTTTGTATTTGATGTTTTAAGCATCTTAGCACCTTGAGTTTGCAAGCCAGTATGAGCTGCTGATCTGTGTTCCATGATGTCTTGTTTGTTGTGACACAATCTGCAGGTAATGTTCCCTCCGTACCCTGGTCTGCTTCATATAGCATGGACATCGTTGCCACATGATCCAAAAGAATGAGCTGCACTACAATGTTTTTCACAAACTATATAGAATCTGTTGGCCACATTATTGTCACGCAACTGGTCTGGACGTTCCGCCACGGCAGTAGATGTGTTAGCTGTGGATGTCGTTGCATTAATGCCAACCTCCATTTCTTGTTCAATGTTCTCTAGATCTTCCTCAGTAACTATTTTATCGAGAGCCCATAAATGGAAACTAACATGGATTTACATTTTTTTTTTCTTTTGACAGCCATCTGCTATGTCTGTCTCATAGTCTGACGGCCCTTTTGATCCATGTCGTCTTGCATATACAAACAAGAGCTAAACAATACGTTACTGTCAATGAAAACGCACCCAGAATAATGAAAATGCGATCACAACTTAGTCTAGATAGAACATTGGCCAGGACATCCCGGCCATTGCGCGCATTGGCCGGCCAATGTACAAAATACGCTGTCAAGTTTAAGCGCTTCGGACTTTGGCCAGTACGTCCCGGCCAGTGCGCGCATTGGCCGGCCAATGTACGAAATACGATCTTAGTGCTAAGTTCTTCGTACTTTGGCCAAGAGAGCGCTTTGGTCGCACTTCGGGCTTTGACCGTAATATATATATATATATATATATATATATATATATCTATATATATATCTATATATATATATATATATATATATATATATATATATATATATATATATATATATATATATATATATATATATATATATATATATATATATATATATATATATATATATATATATATAAAATGAAAAAAAGCAGGCCCCGCGCGGATGGTTAGCCCTAGGCCCCGCGTATTCCTAACGCCGGCTCTGCCTAAAATGGTTCTTGATTTCGGCCATTGGCTGGCCAATCTGTGGACTGGCCATGGTAGACCGGCCAAATTCTGAATTAGATTTTTTACCGTAAGTATTATGAAATTAAGTCTCTTATTAATTACTAGCGTACCCGCCCCCCGCGCGTTGCCGCAGGGATAGAAGAAAGTTTGACGAATGTATTAGGATTTCACCAACGCGTTACCAATCATATGTCCTTAGACGCGTGACCGTCTTTTCTAAAAGTGAGTTATTTAAATGTAAACAATGGATCATAAATATCGGGATACGGGTTCACCTACACTACCGCATAAAAACATTGAGTATACATTAATCGCTCACCGAAATAATATGGTAGAACACTTCGGTGACCGCCCATGTGTCAGAGACGTAGAGGGGCGCTCTCAGGGCCTTCACCCCCCGA